ACTCGGAGGCGTACCTGAGCTCGAAATTATCTGCTCAGTGGCTTCTAAGGAGCTTGGCTGCGCTGCAAGTATGATCACTGTCGTTGAGGAGGCCACATTATATGTGCTGGCCTCCAACCACCCGGCAGTGCCTGAAGGTGTGTCGTATCCAAGAGAGCAGGGTTTTTGTGCTCAAGCCATTCTCGACACTAATCCTCTCGTGTCTCGCCATGTCATGGCCGATGTTCGGTTTAGTGCAATGACAATTGTCCGCGCAATGGGGATTAATTTTTACTGTGGCTTCCCACTAGTTGGACCTGATGGCAAAACGGTCATTGGCGTCATGTGCTGTGTCGATCAGCAAGCTCGTGACCTTACACAGTCGCAGTATGACCTTATGAAAAGTCTGGCTTGCACGGCTTCACGCGTGGTTCGGCGTGCTGCTGAGCAGCGGGCAGTTCGGGAAAGTAGTACCGACGAATGATCAAAACAGTAATAGATCAATCGAATTGAACGCAAGGCATGTTTGTGCCCGTACGATTTAATGATATTAAGAATCTAAGAAGCTACTTTAAAATTCACTCTATTGAGCCCAGGTCCTTTGAAAGAACCACAGCGCGCGCATTAGCTAATCTCTTACTCCAGTGAGCTTTCTTTTCCTCTCCAATAGGATTTTCTTCATTACTGATAGCGCCTGCTAAGAGGACAAAGTCCTGGATTATGGACATTGCTTTCTCCGGCACAATGCCTTTCAATGCCTGCAGTACCGATTCGCCATACGACAGGGTCTCTCGTGGAAAAGAGCATGGGAGCCCCGTGAGCTGCTGGAAGAAAAGCTGCAAAATCAAGGTTGCAAGTAGCGCATATTGTTGATTGCACTCAATCACTGACGCTGTCTGATTTTCCAGTTCCGCAAGGGTTGCCTGTCGATACCCAAAGATTATTTGACGCTCCTTTTTGCGGTCCATTTTTCGAAGTGGCATACTGAGATCATCAGCCAGCACTGGGATGTGGGCCATAAAATCGCTAATGGAGTGACGGCCGGCTGTGGCAAGCGTCCATAATCGCACTAAAGAATTCGCTGTGGATTGCGAAAGCTTTGACTCAAATACCTTTCTGTTGTCATCACTAAGGGACGTTATTGGAACAACAACTTTGTCTTTTGCTTCGTTACGTCTAAGGGACGCCATTGGAGGCACTCCTTCCACTTCAAGATTGTTGCTCTCAGCTATGAAGCAAGTGAACAAAGAAGCTAGTTCAGTGGCGAAAGACTTTAATATATGCGTTTCAACAAGAGCTAGCTGCTCCATACTAGCAACATCCTTTGCATCCACCAGCATCGACAATTTGTGAAAACCTTTTTCCAAAACAATAAGCAAAGAAAATTGCTCGTCAAATAAGTCTTCAAACGCCTTACGCAACTCGCGCAGTGATGCAGCATCGCCACGTATAGTGCTGGACATAGCCTTTGTAAGCGCTGCAGAATACATCTCATCAATGTTTGGTTTTAGATGAGCTACCATGGCATTTAAAAATTCATCATCGTCTTTGCAATCGTCGAGAGCTGGACACCATGTTAAAAGAAGTTCAAGAGTCTCATCATGAGAAGGGGTTATCGAAAGTCGGGTAGATGTGGAACTGCTTTCGCCATCTTCACTGGCATTTCCGCTACGCTTCGGCCCTCGCTTGTCTTTCTTACCTTGAGTAGTCTTTCCATTGCGCCAAGAAGAATCGTTCTGGTCACTTTTCATACGCTTTCCCTTTTTACCACGCTTGCTGTCAGTTGTCTCACCATCCGAATTTACCTCTCCGTCTTTAGTCAGAACAGCGTTACTCTTCTGCTGAGTAAGAGCACGGGAGGCTTTGATCGTGGCATCTTCCTCAAACTTTGTCAAGTACAACGCGAAGAAACCCGAGCTGACAGCATAAGTTTCCGCAATTTGATAGACCTTGGTAACGTTTCCCACTTTCTTCAAAGCCGGTGACAAGCTCAACAACAAGCTCACATCTCCAGATGACAGAGCACTCGGCAGCAGTAGACGCACATCCACAAACATATTGTCGCTAATTGCAGCCTCTACAGCCCCCTCAAGCTGAAGTTGCAGGTCTCGACTCACAACGCATTCTCGAAGAGGTATTGCATCTTGGAATCGCTTTTTCAAAAAGTCGTAGGGTCTGACGACCTGAATCTCTCGTGCTCTTGCATGCTCCAAGTACCCATTCTGCTGAAAAAAGGAATAGACACTGTTTCTTTGCGCATCCATAAAAACAAAAGGAATGTATTCACGATTTTTTATAGTGCCCATAAGCACCTTAGTCTTTATCAGCTCTGTCAGCACATCAGTAGCCACTGTTTCGTCAAAGCCAAAGTTTTTGAGGATATCTGGAATGAAGACAGGTCGCGTAATAGCTGCGAATACTCCGCGGGTTTGTGCTCTTTGTGCAGCTACGTAAGAATCCGTGTAAAGCACATTGTTCTTTTCACTGGCCATCAAAATGCTGCCGAGTCTCGAGCGCACCACGTCGCGCATATAGTCTACAGCAAAGCCAAATTGTTGAGCTAAGGCCCCTATAGATGTGGTTCCGCTCTCTTGTAAGAGTACATTCGTGTCTTCAATGATACCATCGATATACCAGTTTGTAAGAAGTTCCTCTCCGTCGTTCACTACGTGGTACGTGTCCTTATTGCCTCTGCTATTACGAAACAGCACCGCCGCCTGATTGACAACATATGTACGATCTACATCGATGAGTTTTTCTAGCTCCGTAAAGCTTAGACGACCACCATGCAAAGCAACGTAGTCAGCGATTTCCCGCTGGACCTGCAAAGGAGTCAAAAACTGTTTCCCCGTGCGCGTGTGAATTATTCGAAGCTTGCCCGATTGCTGAAGTTTAAGAAGCAGGTCAACAACGTTGTGGTCTGAGAGCTTAAGCGCTGTCTCCTGCTGCTGCACAGCCGCGAGTTGCTGCTGCAATAAAGCGATCTCGTCCATGTTGACTAGATTTCAGAGGGGAAAGTGATGTCACTCGGACGAGGGTTTAAAATTACATGGAGGTGCGCCTTGACATTGCAGAGGACGCGCTAAAAGTATTTGTTGCGGCGCTGCAGTGCTTGGCTCAGGTTGGAAAGGAGTTGTTTATCGAATGTGATCCAGGATCCAGTCGTCTCACTTTACGCGCTCTGAATGATGCACACTCGGCTTCTGGTCAGGTGACGTTAGACCGAACATTCTTTTCCGAGTCGCATGGCTGTTGTATTACCCTCCACGACACCGAGATTTCAACAGCGGAGATGCTGAAGGCGCGATTTGATGGTCGAACACCTTATTTGAAGTGTAAAGTATTTGCCAAGTCATGCTGCAATGTATTTCGTACACTCAAGCATGTGCAGAGTGTACAATTAGCGCTGCTTGTGGACCAAGAAGCACTGGAGCAAGCAGACGCTAGTCAAAAAGATGTCTCCCAAAGCAGCGACATAGACGAAATAGACCTTGACTGCATAGAGCTACGCTGGCGATTGCGATGTGATTTCGAGATTACTAAGACACACCACATGAAGGTGCAATCGTGCCAGATTTTGCGCGCTGTCTTTGACAAAGACACAAGTCCAAGTCGATGGAGAACTAGACAGCATCATTTAAGCTCATTGCTGGCTCACATTCATCACAGCGGTGAAGTGAGCGTCACATGTTTACCGACTCACGTCAAATTTGAGAGCCACTTTTCCAGTATTACAGCTAGTAAGGCCCAGCTACAGACAGAAACAGCAGTAGAGAGTGCTGAATTCAGCGAGTATATTCTCCAGCCAGTGAGCACTAGCATTGATTCATCGGCACAGTTGATTTTCTGCATCAAGGAGGTTCGGGTGAGTTGCGCTGCTACGATGATATGACTGGTAAGGGCAAAGAAGCTGATGCCAATTCAATGTAGGCACTCCTTTCTTTCTGCAAGACAAGCGATGTGCTCGAAGTATCATTTTACTATAGCTCAAGTGGCAGGTAAGTCAACTTGCATTTGGTTTACGAGTTCATCAAACTAATTGCTTCCGTCGCAAATTGCTTAGTCCAGTTTTATTTGAGGCCGAGTCAACGTCTATGGCAAAATTTTCTATTGAAATGGCATTGTCGACAGTGACGGCATTTCTACCTGCGTCATCGCAAGAAAAAAGTGAAGAGGAAGCCGTGATACATGCAGACGGGTGAGTGGTTGCCTTGCTTGACATATACAATACATGCTGACAATACATCGTCTTAATCTTGACAGTACCGTCCGCATCAGCCAGACACAATCGATGTCTCAGTCTTCGTCGCAGGAAATTCCGCGACATTCGACTCACACCAAACGTTTGCGCATAGATTAATGGTCATGATAGAAAACACGCAATAATTAAATTAATTGACCCAAATGACGATAAAAACGTCGACCTACAGCACGCGATCTTGCACAAACCAGCTTTCTCCCCCAAGCTCCGTCTTGCCGCCAGCAACGCTTTCAAACGTTGGTGACTTGTCGACAATCTCCCAGTCGTCACCCTTGGGACTACAACCAGCATCAGTCCCACTGCTACTCTTCTCATCGCTCTTCTTCCGCTGCTTAACCAAAGGACGTTGCTGGATACCCGAAGTCTTTCGCTTCGGTGAAGTCCGTATGAACGTTGTGTAAGGCATAAAATGCACTTCCTCTTCGTCGTCAGTGACGCCATCGCTCTCACTGTCCGAAAATTCATCACTTTGTGCTAATTCGCGTAGCTTTGCGAGATCAAAGTGGCGATGGCGCAGAGGCGACGCAAGCGTATGGAAGGCTAGCGACAAGCGTCGATCCATTCCTCCAAATCCATCGCCAGCGTTGTGCATTGATACTGCAGCCATCGTCTTGTCCAGTCAGTTTATCAAAAGCGTAAGATCTCTACTGTTCACTGCTTCCGGCAAGTTGCCAAATGAAAGGTGGGAGAACATTACGAGAGGGCGTGATGTCTGCGACGTGTGAGACTGGTAATGAAAATGCCTCTTTCACATCTAGCAAGTTGCCGAGGTTTGGTTGACTGAAGTTGCCACATCTGACTGGTCACATAACCAGTCCTCTCATGAGACAAATCCAATGCAAAAACAGTTCATTTCAAAAAATTGCATTTTTTCTGACATTGGTATGTTCTAATGGTAATGCAATATCAACGCAAGGAAGTAAAGCGCGTACAAATCACGAACGGGATCGAGAAAGCGACAAATAAATACAGATGATGACGTTTTCAGTGCCGATGACGCTAATTTTTATTTATGGTACTTTGCATCAAGACGACAGCTTTATGCAAATGTAAAGAAGGAGTGATGCTGTTAAGCATTTAAAGAGTCGACAAGCATTGATGGGGAGTGGATGGAGTACAAAGGCGTGGTGTACGCATAGAGTGCGCGAAAATCGTAAGAAATATTAGTCCAGAGAGGTAGGTGTAAAAACAGCAATTGAAGTTGGCATTTATTTGTAATGAGACTATACGATTCGTCGTCTATTTGCCCAGACGCCTCAACATCTATGGTCTCCAGAAATTGAGTTTATTTAATGATCTGATAAGAAACGATAAAAAAAGAGGCGAATAATTTGTGGTCACATTCGGTAAACAGATGACTTTGTGACCACGGTGCTCCTTCTTTACGAACAGGATTGAGAAGCATTTTTTGTCCCGCCATATCATTATCGTCAGTAGGTTATCACAAGCAGAACTTACCACATGCAGAGCGAACGATTCGATAATAGAAGCAATAGGCACCGAAAAGTGAGCAGTGGTACTTTAATCTTGACACGAGCATGATCTGCAAAGTCAAACGACCTTTTTAAGATGCAGCGCCGACCTAAAGCGTAGGTGGCTCCAGGCTGTGCAATTGTTGCTTATTTTTGCTGTCGAACTCGAGATTTTACGTCGCTGATGTTTGTAAAGGCAGAATCAAATATGGAGCAGAAAGCGAATGAGTTGACAGTTTCCGGCTTCGGTTTTTACTCCTTGTTGCTGCATATACAAAAGGTATATTCAACTAAATAACTTTGACAACTTCTGTCGTCAATATATTAGCTAGCAGGCAGAATTCCTTCAAAGTTGCCCCTTGTTTTTTCAGACTTTCTATGCAGCATAGCATGAAAACCCTTTGGAATATTGTCGGGATTGTGGATACGACGGATGTCTGCTGTCGGGTCCAAGCGGTTTCGAGCAGATGACCGCTTTGGTAAAAGACCGCCCATTAATCGCTTTTCGCGTGGTTGGACAAATGGAAGTGTACGAGCGCCAGTACCAGAAATGCTAGCAACTTCGGGTGTACTGCTTTCAGAAAATTTTGATCTGTCTACGACATTTCGAGTCTGATTTGATGCACGCTGAGCTCGTTCATTTTGAGAAGACTCATATATCTTGAGTCGAACTGAAGAAACAGCTTCATTGAGTGGCTGAATCTTGCGCTCCTTCCCATCAGAATCAATAAGCATAAACATTTTTGCTTCGGGTCTTATCTGTCATGTACAGGTATAAAAAAAACAAAGAGAGAGTAAGACATTAAGCGTAAGTAAAGCTCTTTGTTAAACAAACCGGATCAGAAGATCGCATAGCTACAGCTGTCACTCGGAAGCAACTACTGTCTTCCCTAGTTATTATAAACAATCAAATGTTAGGAAAGTCTTAAGGGTATCATGGAAATCAAACGTACAAGAAGGTGCGTCCTATAAAGTGTGAGAATAGAGAATGCCTTGTCCATTCACCTTTCCGCACAAAGTTGCTAATTTCCAGAGCCTTTAATACACTCAGCGGCTTGTCTGCTGCGCTATCCCAATAGAAAATCTACAGCACATATGAGATTAACAGTAACAAATGATTTTGTACCTCTTTGATCCTTTACCTCGCCACGAGTAACCTTAACGACTGTAATGAGATCCGTAATCTCTCCATGAACATCTGCAAGTTTATGATGAAGGTACGATGTGTTCGACAGTGCTTGTGGCTCACCAACATTATTGCTAGAACCCAGTGGACTACTGCGTCGACTCATGATGGCGGCATTGCTCACGGTCGAAAGTGTCAAATTTCTTTGCCTTCTCTGCATTGTTCCATCGCCAATCTCAATAACATGCTTTTCGTGCTTTTCAGATGCATTTGGTGCGGTAGCTCGTGGGCGGTAACTAGACACACACATCCAGACTTCACCAGACTTTGGCATCGTTTCTTCAAGCAAGAAAGTTTCACGGGGTTCCAAACACGAGCCGTTAAGAGCTCTAATAGCGCAGTTTTTTATAAAAACGGATGTTGGAGGCTGAAGCGCATCATTAAGTGCTTTCTCTTTAACAAATTCTTTGTAGTTGTTCAGATAACCTGGCGTTTCTACTTCTTCGTGGTTTATAGTCGATCTATCGACTGGTACATCCGACCTTCGTCGTTTAGGCAACCATTCCCAGTCGCAACGTGATTCAGGAAACGCGTAGGTTGCTGGTCGTCCAAGTTGCCACGTACGATGGCGTCCACCAAAGCTACCAACTTTGACACCGTCTAGAGTCCAAAGACTCACCTCTCCATCAGCACACGAAAAGAGCACAAATAGTTCATCCACGCGAGTGGAGTAGTCAACGATGTCCGCACAAAGTACGCGACGATTTAACGGAGTAGCTGCTCCGGTTAAGGCATTACCAAGACGCCACGTGCAAACCAATGCAAGTTCTATTCCTTCGTGATTTTGTGCAATGCGAAGCTCCCATATTTTGATACACCCTGCAGCATCACCAGAGACCAGATGCGTATTGGCTTTATCGCACCGTAGAACGGTAATCGGCTCGCAATTTTCAGTTTGTTTTGTAGACTCTGTTATTTGAGATGATGCTTTCAGCAAAATCTCACCTTGTGTTGCCATAGACCGATCGAAGCAAAACAAGATGCCTCGCTCTCCAGCAACGAAGAGAATTTGAAGCTTATCGGCGTACAAAATAACCTCAATAGGGCCTGCATTTTGATGAAGCGGTGCTACTAACTCACCAGAGTTCAAAGACCACAACAGCACCAAGCCGTCTAGTCCAGCTGTTGCGACATAAGCTGGGGGCACGTAAGCTAGCGCGAGTACGTCCATAACATGATGCAGGCGTTTGTGATGTCGTCTGCGGTGTCTGTCTACCTCGTTGAATTCATTTTCGTTCTCAGCGTCACCATCGGATGGAATCTGATGTAAGGGCAGTGCCTCAGACTCACCACTTTTATCAGCCCAGACGAATAGCTGACGGTCCCAGCCAACACAGCACACAAAGCGTTGGCATGTATAGTTTCCCATACCTACGCGTAAGTTACGTTCGATATCTATGATATTTGTGACTTCGTGCTGTCGGTATTGCGGAGTAGAAACTCGAGTCAATCGCAGCTTTCGGTCACCTGGATTTGCTGTGCTCAAGCGTTGAGCACATTTGTGTGAATTATCATTGGATCTACCAAAGTGCGACCAAAGCCTCGGTTTAGAAGGGGGGACAGGCGTCGGATGATCTTGCCCACACTCCAGTCGCATGCGCGTCGGAGATGGCAATTCAGACTGTGCCATCAGGGCTGCATTACCACGCCTGCCTTCGAGATCCATTCCAAAAGATGCCGGTAGCAGCAAAATATCTCGAGGCTTGCGCTTCCGAGGAAGACTAACGGTAGCAGCAGGTTCACTTACACCTCCAGCCAAATCATCTGGTGGCGGTGCCGTGCTTGCCAAAGTTCCAGCTGTTGCCGGTGTAGTCGTATTCAAAAGTGATTTCATGACTGGAGGTGCTTTTTTATTGAATTGCTTGACGAGAGCGCCATTGCTAAAATTCCACATCTTAAGATACTCACCGTTGTGTGAACCCGTCAAAAGCCGTCGCCCTGCGTGATCGAACGCCATGCTCGTGACGGGATCAGAACCATGAGCGTGGGCAAAGCTAGAAATCTCTTCGCCGGTCTCTGCACTCCACGTCTTGATCACAGAATCTGCATCCAACGTGGCCGTCACTACCTGATGAAACACAGTATTGTAGCATGCCAGTCGCACAGGGCGCTCAACTAATGCACCTACACGTAATCGGCTTTTCGTGGCAAAAGAAAAAGAGGCATCAAGACTTTTGTCCAAATCTTCCATTTCTTGTGTGTCTGCTTCACTACCTTTTACTGTCCACCGAGTGAGCTGCGTTGTGCCAGTGAGAAGGCACGACTTCTTTCCGTCGAAAAGCAACGCTGATACTTGATTCTCGCTGCTAATGCTAACTTCACTTCCAAATCTGCTATATTGTGACATGGTTGTGGCTGCAGCTTCAGCACCACTCATCGCATCTCCGCCTCTAGCGACAAATGTCTGGAGACAGCGATGATTTCGCACATCCCAGACTTTGATTGTGTTATCTGCAGCAGCAGACACGATCTGAAACTTTTCGTCATCACTCACGAGATGCAATACGGAGCTTGTATGGCCTTTAAGTGTCGCCACAGCTCGTTGAGAGCTATACGGATTCCAAACATGGATATCCCGTTCCATGCCACAACTAGCAATCAGCCGCGTGCTTGCACACCAGGTCAAGTCAAAAACACCCTTACGATGTCGAGTATATTCAAACTTAACCACGAGTCGATCGACATCTAGAATCGACACAGTCTTGTCCAGCGACGTTGCCACAATGGCCCGCATGTCGTTTACCCACTTCACACGAGTGACCCAATCCGTGTGTTTTTGAAGCTTGACACGTGACGAAAAACCCTGAGTTTCAAGCATTGCACTACCTGCCGGTCTAGAACCTCCAGTACTAATCATAGTTGGAGCACTAGCGGACATTGTGGAGGATGTCTGATCTGCACTTACAACACCTGGTGTAGACAAAGGTCCTGAAGGAGTTCCAAGAGGGCAGGATAAGCTAGGAGAACCAGGAGATACACCGGTTCTTCCGTTGCGACTATTGTGGCTTGAACTCGATACATGGACAGTAGGGAAGGAACGACCATCGCACGATAGCCATTGTTCGGAGCATGTAAGAATCGAAATGCCACCTGTATCGTCTCCAACCACAATGGCTTCACGATCATCGGAAGGTTTTTCAACGTACGCAAGACACAACGGAATACACTGTCGCTGTGAATAGTCCACCAAATCCCCGATATGTTGACCAGAGTTCAAGTCATAAAAGCCTAGGGTACGATTCATGGATGCGACGGCGAGACGCTTTGAGCGCTTCATGACGCAACAATCTGTAAGCCAGCCCCGCCCAGACGCCAAGACTTGCTGTGGAAGTAATGAATTCGCACTCCATGTTCGAACACTACCATCTTTACTAGTGGTAAGATAGACATTTGGTCGTTCTAAGCGTACGATACGAGTGACGCTATCCTTGTGATGCGGCAACAAACCCAAGGTGAGTGCTCCACCACTTTTTCCAGTCATGTTACCCATTATCTCCGTCGCAGAGGAGGAACTTATGCTCCCAAGGCTGCTTCCATGTTCACCTTTAAAAGATTTAGGGTGAGCTGTCTCGCAGTAAAAGCACCCATCGTCTCCTCTGTATTCATCACTGCCGCTACCAGAAAGAAACATGTACTACAGAGTTGAATTACGCTATAAGCAAGAAGAGAATGCAAACAAAGTTATTACTACGCACATTAGTAAGCTCATCCCAATCTACCGTCCCATCCGAATTTGCATCAATTTTTTGAAATCTACACATAACATTTGCATCAGGCAACGCTCATGACAGAGCTTAAAAGATTGCTGGCTGATGAAGCTGTACAGTTCTGTGAGTTGAGTCTCGCTAAGCGAAGCATCTACGATCTCGCGAAAGAGACTGACAAATTCCTTTTCGGTCAAATCACCATCAGCAAATTTTTCTTTAAGTGACTGCAGTTGCTCGACACCAATTTCATCGCGAGAGAACACAGTGGTCGTACGCTTTTTGGTCCGAGGCACTGTCATGGTTGGTGTAGAAGAAATTCCGACTTTACACTTTACATGGGAGGATATAAATACAGCCGACTATAACCGAACTTGTACTGGACATTATTCGCGTAAGGTGAAAGCTAATAGAAAGAATGCAAGCTCGAGATAGATATGACCGTTTAATTACAGACTTTTTAATCAGGCATTTTTTCCAGCCTTTTATTTCGAAATTCGCTTTTGGTAAGCACATCTCACCCAGGGCATTCCGACTATACCCACCTTGTCTCTCCACTCGTAGGCTAAACTACGGGAGATCAAGACCTTATGTCAGGGGCCAACTACATTCATGTCTTCCTCAATAATGTTATTTATCTCAATTTAGCTCATGATTTGTACACCCTTCGCATACTCTTTCACTATCGCTTTTCTTGAGCGTACGCCGAACCGCAGTCCCCTCATATAGTATCCTATTCTAGTCCATTACTATCTCATCCTCAAGCACACTGATCGTATAATCAGAATTAATGAGCCAAAACAGGTTTTAGACAGCAGCAGAACCGTATGAAGCCATGGCAGTGCTTTTCTCTATTCAAGACAATCGATGCAACATTCATTAAGATGCATAGATCGACGTGAGTTGTTGGGCTTGCGCCTAGTAAAAGACCCGCATTTGAGAGGAGCAGTAAAATTTTGGAGCATGTCGAAGGAGACATCGGCAGCTGGTTGATCTCTGGTACGTCGTCGAAAGCTTCCACTTGCGGTTGGAACTGGTAGAATGCCAAGTACGACGATCTCATTTTGCGCATATCGCATTTCAACGCCTTGCGGACTGGGCTTCAAAAGCTAATATACTGGTTTTACTTTAATTGCACCACCACTCGGCAGCTTCCACCAGACTTGTCCACGTCTGAGATCTTCCAATAGCGCCACCAGGTTTCAGAGTGTAAGTTGACATTTGGATGAATAATGAGATACATTTATCCAGGAGGGCCTTATGTAAAGAAGGCATAAGACGAAGACGAAATCATTACTTTTGCGCCTCTGAGAAAAATGTGTTCGTAGAGTAAGAAATGGACACTGGGAGTGTTGTTATCTTTGAACCAAATGTTGCATCAGCCACCTTGTTTCGGTTGGCATCTCTTCTCGCTGTTATCGAGCCACCTTTTCCAATCACGCGTCAATTCCCGTTGCAGCCAGAAAATTGGACTTGAACTCATCCGCTTTGCTCTCATGCTTTTTCGCTCGAAGCTCGACGATAACGAGACGCCCATCATCAAGGGTGAGCTATCGGATTGGAATCCGCAGTTTTTCGCCGTCTCCAATGTATTCGTTGAATGCATCCGTAAAATCTTCCCACAAAGCACAAAGTGGTCAATTTAGTCATCTTGATCGAAAAACGTGCACCCACATCAAGCTTCAGCGCATCCATGACGCCCTTATTTCATCGGCAGTGCTCTCAGCCGTCATGCTTGTGAAAGTGATTGATGTGGCCGTACTATACTAAAGATTGCGCTAGCGAACTACACGCTCATTTTTTTCTTTCTCGAAATAAGAAAGGCAGCGGGAAGAAGAACCGGTTTTCTTCATCTGCTCATTTGCTCATTGTCTGCTTGAACTATGCTTAAAACGATATCTGGTGTACCCTCAGAGGCAGCGATGAATTACGGTTCATAATTCGTGTTGAGACTCAATCATTCTAAGTAACTTCAGAAGTTGACGGCTCAAAGCCTGGAAGGAGCGTACGAACTCAGGCTCTGTGCATTTGTTAACGCGGACTATGAGAGTCAAAGCTTCCTCTGTGCAAAGTGCACGGTGAACCCGTTGCACATGGTTGTAATTGTGGCCAACCCCACGACGGAATCGTAGGAGCGCTGTATCCTCTGCAAGGACGGAACATGAAATGTTATAATACCTAACCCCCGAAGAAATACTTTTTACTACTTTGAGCACTGATAGGATCAGGAAATTGGCGGTCAAAGGGTCAAAAAGCAGTAATCGCTTGTCTGGAGGTGCTCAACACCATCAAAGTATGTTCCGATGCGGTCCAACTGGGAGTCACTTCGGAAACCACATGGATCACACAGTCAACCGCTGATATTGAACGTCTGAGCCGAGAAGCCGGGGCGAAGAGAATCTCAACCCTTTTGGTGATGAGGTCAGCCATCATGTAGCGTGATTTGCTTAAATAATCCACAAATCGTCGCGTTTGCGATTTTCAAATTTCGGAGGTTGCGCGCAAAAATGAATACTTTAGTGCAGTAACTTGACCAAAGCGGTGCTCCAGACGTGGGACAAGTTGAAGCGATATGCTGTCGTGGGTGTTCGTAGCTCCTAACTGCGTTCGATGTTCTTGTTCATCTATCAAGTGTTCGCGTCGCCCTAAATCTCGTAATGGAAACCACTACTCTTTAAGGAAGGCGAGACTGATAGCATAGGGTTGCAGTTTGTTAAAGCCATGAAAATGACTGATAGACTTAGGAGCGCTGTGCAACTACATAAAATGCGCGACTGTCGGAATAGTAGACAGCACGCGAAGGCATCGTAGATGCCAAGTACGATATGAAATTCACGCCTCTTGGGACAGGGACACTATTTAATGCGTCGAGACTTAAATTCATTTCAAAATGAAGTTTGAAAGTCTTTATCAGCGATAAACTTGGTGTTGCTCAAAAACTATCTCTAAGATTTGAATGAAGCAAGGCATGACATGGCTAGAATGCCACAAGACATTAGTTGACTGGAAGACGAAAACGTTGGGTGCCACACTTCGCTCCTGATAGTAATGAAGCAAACTCAGTCAGGAAACAGAAGCACTTTGGCGTGGATACGAGGCTACATAGATTCGCAAGAGTGAGCAATTGTCGCCTTGAACCAGAGTCGATGGCGAGTGGAAGTGACTGGTTGCGCAATCTTCCGTGCGAGAGCTTGTGGAGCTGAAGGGCGATTGAAAGACGCAAATAGTAGTAGAACGGCTTGTCCCTGAGAACAAATAGAATATTCATCCTCGTTTAGATGTGTCCATACTGCTGCGTCAGCACAACCGTGAGATGGGTCCACCGTGCGGAGCAGTGAATTACCACGGGTAAGGGGTGAAAATGTATACTCGTGAATAAAGTGACTGGGGTAGCTCTAGAGGTTGTAAGTCTTACCTCACTACTTTCGGCAGAAGCTAGTATGACGCTGATGGATTTCTCGGGGATATACGCAAAGATACCAGGATGGTTAGGTCACCAAAATGGCACGGCTAGCATCAAAGGAAAAATTAACTCGTTATCTGGATCTGTCATTGATGTAAGTTTAGTACGTGGAGTAGTGGAATCGCGACGTGTTGAAGATAGATATGTGTCGCGCGTGACACCCTTATAGGGGAGTGCGTCCTTAAGCTTACCCGGTTACTAAATTAAATATTATGCCACACGAAATTGACCCCTATTAAAGGAGCAGTGTGGCGTCAATGATGCTTAGTTCCGTGCGAGCACGGACGGGCCAATGAGAGGGAATGATCTTTACACTCGGCGCCAACTTTCTTGTAGAAAAAGCAAACGGCAAGTGGCGAACTGTGCATGCGTATAAAAAGCTGAGCGCAGCCACGATACCGGCGCAAAAGGCAAATCATTAAAATGATGTGCTGCTTGGCATAATGCGTCGGTAGTCTCCCCAGCCCCATCCTTCGGCAGTAGATTCTTCAGTGTCCCTGACTTTAATTAACTAATATCTACTCAAAAGCGACAGCGATATCGCACAATTACTTCGAGCGTGGTACGTTAGGATTGCTTCATATACCACAGGGCCTGTCTAACGAACCAGCAATGCTGGCGACACTGCGGTTCAGGCACATCGTGGCTAAGCACAGAGTTAATTCAACGATATATTTCTCTATGATCGTGCGAAGCACGGAAAGTCGGATGGGAAAAATTGCATCAAACTCTTGCAAGTGGGGCTTGACTGTATGCGTGTATGCGCTAAAATAAGCGACTCGTAAAATAGAAAGATTTATATGACGCCGACGTAATCCCCTTTTGCGTTACTCTACTGGAAAAAGGAGGCAAAGATAAAGATCATTGCATATGAGTCAAGGCCTCTATAAAAAACGATTTGAAGGGAAGTGGTTTCGTCTGGCCACCGCACTCCAACAAACTTAAGGAATCTCTTTACAGAATCTATAAGGCGTCGTGCCATGTCAGCACATTTTTCACAGTACTTCTGCAAGAAATTGAAAACGACGGTCTGAAATACTGTATATGAAAGTCTCATGTGTGCTTCACTTTTGGCTCTTTCGGATCCTGATCGGATAATTCGAATCGTCACAGACCATTCGGACTTTCCCAATGGCCGCTATTTGCTCCAAACAGATGCCATTAGGCATGTACGCTTAAACAAATTTAAATAGCTCTATTTAAAGCACGTCTGTACCGATTCGCTATGACATAAGGTTGCTAAATCACAACACAAACTCATGGGACACTGGTTCCTCATGATGATGATGACCGAAGAGGGTACAGTTAAGCTGTTCTTCGACAAAGATTAATGACAACATGACTTGCGGATATCCAATGTACTGGATAGAAATTCACAAATAGATAGTTAGACGGAATGCATGATCACGACGCTAAGGGTTATCCTACGGAGCACTGACGTGGAGAGAGCTCAGCGCTGATGCAAACTGCTCTTACTCTTTGATTACAGTAGATAACATCGTACATGCCCCTACAGGCTCTATTTAATTTTTTTAAATCATTAGAGAACCCGTGTAGTCTTTGACACCGCTGAGAAGTGGCTCCGGTCCTTGTATGGAACCGCCGATCAACATCAACTTTCTGATCATAGCAATATCAGTGATTTTATATGGATGGAATGAAAGTTATGGCAAGGTGCATGACGCTATGGCTGATAGCCAAGACAGAGATTTAATGTTCATAGTAGAGGGAGGCCGAACATACACGAATATAGTGTAATTTTTGTTGAATCTACCTTGATTTGCAGGGTCTGTGATTGGTCGTTACAAGAGATTGAGTTATACTCTGGATTTTATGAGGCAAATGCAAGCTCATCCAGTGTTTTGGGCTTTTCGAAGCTATAATGGGTGGTGTGAGACCAAAGGGCCACATGATCCACGGTTCTCACATGTGTGGAGTCCGATCTTCCGCATCAGTTCAAGTATTTCGTGACTTCTTAGCTTTGCACAAAAGTGTGGACTATAACAGGGCATGTACCCCATTACACCTCTCCAGCAAGATGCGGATACGCTGGGGTCAGAATGACTTTGATGCTTGTAAACATTCGCAGAATATGCGCCCATAGAGACACTATGGCACTTAATAAACTATTTGCCTTATAATGCCTAGTCGTTCGAGCATCATTCGCATCAGGTTGCCTGTTTCCGTGGTAAGCCAAGCCCCAGAGATGGGCGGTGTTCTCACGGCCGACAAACAAGGAACTTAATGCAGTGACGAGGCCATGGTGCATTCAAAATAATGTTGTCGCAGCAATTCATCGAGACCGGGTCATATACCTCCGCCCTAATCGAGTGACACACAGCAGAGCTGATCAGTAGAGAGGAAATGTTCGCTACGCTTCGCGTCTACCCTGCGCGAATTGCACGCTAAGTGCCTGTCGCTCTCGTGGGAAAGCGATAAAACACCCAGTCGCAGAGCTCAGGACGACGTTCAGATCGCCACTGAAACGCAGAACCTAGCTCAGGAAACAAAGTTTGCATGTCTGTTAGCGCACGATTTGCCACGAATTTTGCAGACTTCATCTCACCTTCTGATTGTGGGATATAACATCCGATGTTATCAGTCATGCCGTGTTATGGCCCCTACACGTTCATGCTTCCGATCAAATATAGATCAAACGCGCTCTTTCGGGTCCTTTAAGTCACCACTCATCAATAGTATCGTTTTGTTTTAAGTAGAAGCGGTCAGATAACCTCGCGGCCTGAATGAGGGTATATCCTGACATGATTGCTAGCTAAATGCTGAAAATTACGCGGGCGCGGGTAAGAAATATACGTTGTCTCCCTTGACGTACACCTTAACAAGCCAAATTCAGTGAAGTAGACGTCTGACTAGAGCGTTGTTTGATGCTTGATTTTTCAAAGTACAGAGCAGGACGTGTACATCGAGAAGGGTGCTCAATCCCTTAATCTCTTGCTGTTCAGGACCGTCCATTCTGATGAGCTAGTTGTACAGCTAAGGACCAGGTCTCATATTGAATCAAAATTAAGCTATACCTATTAGCAGCAAGCGCATTGAACCGAAAGACAATGTCAATTATCCCAACGAGAAAAGAAAGGATATGCTCATAGTTGTATACGGCAACAGAACTATAGAAATCGAGCCTAAGTATAACCTCAAACCACCATGACCCTTTAAATTGAGGGTGTTCTTTCACCTAGCCAGATACTGGTCACAGCCCGGACGAACCCGCCGGTCCACTAAGAGCTACAAATGAAAGTGGATTACTCTTTGCTCATCAAGCAGTACAAGTGGAAGAAGCCACTAATGCTGAAATTCGTGAGCTCTCCTAAAAATGGCTCACGCCTCCTCGGCATGTTGCCAATACAGACACTAAGTAACTTTATATGCGCTTTCTTAGCTACCCCAAGGTACAAAGTACTACCAGCGGTTTAAAACTGTATCGCAGCCATAGCTCTGAGTAGCTTAAATACAGGGAATGGTGGAGATGCTGATCTATCTTTGACGAAGCGAAGAAAGTGTGAGATACTAGTAAAAGCGGGGTTCTACCATGGCTGGAGCAAGCCCAAGTAAACCCACGATGTGTTTACATTCTCTTCTCTTAGGATGTTAAGAGTGTAGCTAAATTCTTTTTCGCTTCTTCCGCGAGCGGTCCGAGGTAGCGTGGTGGCAATTTCGTCAATGAATCGCAATCACTTGATCTATAGGTCGGTTTGTTGCATTCAATAAGCGATTTAATCTCACATATATTCGTGTGTGCTCCACCTGCCTCGGGTATCGGCGTGTTGTTAGGAATCAAACTGACTCTTAAGTATGGCTTGCGCTCACTGGGTATGACGCGTATTCTCATTACGATAAAATCACAGCTTTTGCTACGGGCTGATATTATCAAAGCCTATTTGATCATCAGACCCTCCACCAGTTATAATAACGTAATTTTGTGGTGTGTCAGAGGAGCCCGGTTTCTACCAATCCATTTCGTGAAATGAAGTAAAGCTCAGAGAAGCATGTGCTGTGGTATTTTATGCAAAACAAATAGTAGGAGCAGCTCGCTCCTGCACCGCTGTCTTTATAAAAAAATGCTTCTGAGGATTACTACGCGACCTCTGCGCTTGATATGACCATTTTGATGTGGGTGGTCGGCGGCGGACATGATTATCTGGGTGTCAAGCACATTGAAAAAATGAGCCACAACTGTAAAGCGCGCGTTCTGATCCGAAACAAGGCCACCAGCAAAATTAAGTTCATAAACAGTAAGTCACGGGGCAGCTTGGCTGTATAATCATGTCGCTAGTTTTATGTCGCTGATAAAAAGCGAGGTGAGCCAATTTGCTCAACAAGTCTACTATGACCACCATACGCGATTACTGGGCGTCTCTTTTGTAGGACCATCAATAAAGTTCATTCTTATCGCCTGCGAATAATGTAGCAAGGGTTTGATCCGTTGACATGTTTCATCGTGAACACATAAGTGCTTACCGCCTAAACCTGCTTGGCTTACGGGGCCGTATAACTTTCTCATTCGTGGTAAGCACATCATTCTGTAGTTCGTCATCATGGGATGCTACCCAACGTTGACTCCAAACTGTGACCAAGCAAGTCTACGAATACGAACTGTAATGCAGACATGCGACAGATTACATCTGACCGTACGCTATACGTATCGTGTCATCAATGGATGATGGGACTATCGTGAACCCGGCAGTTCATGATTGGGGCAACACGAAAGCGCAAGCACCAATATTTAATGGCATCCCTGCTGAATGGTCCAACGAAGAAGTATACTCGGCGAAAGAGGGAAATTCAACTCGCACGAATCTGCAGAACTAACACTGTTGCACTCTCTTTCACTGAAATGTGGACAACACTGGGGTTTGCACTTCTCTTGTTTAAACACTGCGCAAGAGCTACCGGCTACTACGTCCGTAGCTCTTCTCTACTATCTGCACTTTTCATGCTCTCTACTAGAGCCGCGAATCCGCTCCTGCTCACCAAGACGAATGGCTCAACGAGCACCCATAGAAAATCTAGAAATTACAACCGTCATGCCTAAGGAGATTGTAGGTGAGGATGCATAAGTATTCTCTGGGGACGGTAGATGTAAGCTTTCGACTCCCATCAAACACTTCACTTGCCGATACACGGCCAGGTCGTTTCAAAAAGGAGTCGATTCCTGTGCTCATTCTTTACGCTGTACAAGTCTCGGACTCCGCGCTCATTTCGGTTGGTGAAAAGTGCTTCAACCTGCTGTGAGTCTACCGACAAAGTCCCCCTCGTTGCCAACCAGTTGGACCTGGCGCAACGAGCCCAGCTTGCGTAACTGCAAGGTAAAAGTCACGTTAAGTCTTGTTGAAACCATCGCGCAGTGTATACGACTCCAAACCGATTGAAGTCGCTTCTTGCGCTGGTGCAGAGCTTTTACACGCGGTGTGTGCGGGCATTCCGCGATTGCAAAGCGAAACAAAACGATCGCAGAAAAGTCAATCCGCGAGCGCTCACGCTACCAGAAGGTGGTCACTTCCCAAGAGTGCCGCCTGCGCCAGAAGCAACAGCAGTTTGTAAAATCACCTCTCTCCGTGAGGGATGTACTTAGGATACTAAAGCTGGTAGAAATGCCGCAGATACTCAGACTTAATTGGCGCCATTTTTAAGATCAAAGGTTGCGTCACCTGTCTTAAGGCCTCACAAGCTAACTGGTTGCAGCCATTAATGAGAAGCGCGCTGTGTCGAGCGATCCTACATCCTATCGGCGCTGATGCTTTAGAGAATATCCGATTCACACATTTCATGTGACCATATATTTGTGGATGGTAAGCGGTTGTCATATCGGCGACCGAAAACTTGGAATGGCGATGCCAAAACTTTCTTGTAAAGTGTGAGTCTTTATTCGATGCAACCCCGTGTTGACAAGATACTGTGTCAAGGTACCGCTTGACTGTATCCTCACCATACACGCTATCTCTGACAGCTGCGAGATGAGTCATTGTTATCAGACAGTCCACAAAGACCATATTACTGGTATTACTGGATGCGTCGTCAAAATACCAAATATTTTACTTCAAACTGATTGATGCCTGCAATTTGCCAGAAAAGGCGGGGTGGCCGAAGGTGCCGCCGCATGTGGCGATGATTTGATTGACACGTTTCACATGTACCAAAATATATATGCTTGGCCACTTGCACACATTACGCCACCAAAACATAGCAATCACCGCCCAGTCTGTATTTTCTCATCCGAGAAAGCGAACCAAAGGGTTTATTCATCATGTGTCTTGTATACTATTCGGTACCCGAAGTCCACATCACGAAGAACCACCTTACGCTGTCTGTCATGTGGGGTATTAATGAAATGTAGCAAGCCTAGGAATAACGCATAGCGATGTAGGATTGCGACGGTGCGTGTATTTCAATAAGACGGCACCTGAGCTCTCAAGCTACTTGCTTACCGGTGTCTTCAGCAACGCAGCGCATGTTGCATCTGACCGTACGTTGTGCATATCACCTCATCATTTGTCAAGGTCACCATTATTCTATGCAAGAAACCATACTCAAAGAGACGTGAAAAACGCATTCCTCGCCGCATTGAGCCGATACAGCCTATAATTACCTCAAAGATACGCTCGGCAACGATAGTTATTTTGCCATTTTTAGTGATAAATGTGCTGAAGTTGCTGCGCACGACGACGAATGATTTGTGGCAATCATAAATAATATAGGATGTGCGCTTTGAGTTCGACAAGACGATATTTCATCTAAAGTAGCTTCTTGCCGTGTGCCGGGTAGGTCTTCTCTGCCGCATAAGGCTGGCGAGACTCAAATGTGATCACGCGGACATCCGCATTGACATCTTTTTAAAATGAAACATACCTTGTTGCTTAGCAGAAGCATCACAGACGACGTAAAAATCTTGGTTAGCATTTTGATGAGTCAGAATCCGTGCACAATAACTTTTCTATTCCAGCCGTTTTGGGATATTGGTTAGAGGTCGTGCCACGTCGATATACTGTATTATACTTGTGCAAATAGTTGATTAGGCCAAGCCACCTCAAGTCCATTTGGCATCAGGACACTTGCCAAGCGTAGATTCCTTTTCGTCGCAAAATATGCCCGCAGGCCCTGCTACCCTATGAAAATATCCAAAAAGGAGGCCAAAGCCACTAGCCTGTATAGTTTCCTAGAGAATTTACTCGAGAACCACTCGACAGTGTCTAATTTGGATTTGCATATCTAAGTTACCATGCTCTGCTCGACTATGGACGAAAATATCGTCGAAATAGGTTTGTGCATAGCCACGATGCGGCCAGGACAGTGCGTCACCTGACGATTTAAAATTTGTAATGTCTATGAGGCATAACTGATCACCTCAAAGCATACACTTAAAGAACTCATTGAGTAAGAGGTATATCGCTGCCCCAAATCAGCATCTGACAATAACCATCAACTCGGTTGATGCACAAAGTATAACGGACCATTCTGCCCCGCAGCATATCCTACCTACTAATAAACGATTGCGCCGAAAATGTGGCTGTATTTAGGCTGTTATTAGCATTGACAATTGTCACTCGCTGTAAGATTTTCTGACACCAAAAGACGGCGTTTGATGAGAGGGTTTGAACGCACCAACAAACTCATTCACGACATGCTTTGCACGGAAGATCTCATCAATATCGTCGCACTCTCCCTTCGTTAAAGCCCTTGTCGCACTATTCAATATGTAAGATCATGTAACTTAGTTCCATGACGCACTTCCGTATCCAGCAGGATCACACTTGGTATATGATCTCACTACGACGTCATACACCATCTACAAAGATTCTCGAGAGTAGCTGTCTTAATTTTGCATTCAGTAATCTACAAGTACCTTTGTGATAGATTTACTAAGAGGATAAAAAACACAGCTCATTCCCCGGTATCAAATGGCGACCTTGCCGTTGAACAATTATTTCGTCATATCGCCATTCTTCCAGCGCTTCAAGAGCTACTACCGGAGGTCGGAAGGGAGGCTCGCAACGTGGAGATAACTTGGTCACTCCATTCACAACTGAACAATCTGTAAAGCTAATTACTCGTGCGGAATTAATGCTCTGTATGATACTCCAATCAAACGGTAGAGCTAACGTAGCTGTACCAGCACATCATGATTATATGGTACATGCTCTGAGGTCTGACCCTTATACTCATGACTTACAGTCTCCCTTCAAATTCACCGGCTCTTTCACGAGAGAGTGCGATACCTAATCGTTTTTACTCGCCACCAACTCTGGAGTTCTCAGCTGTTCATGACCGTCCCGCCAGTGAGACAATTCGGAGGCACCTACAAACATTTGTCTTATATCGACCTGACCGATATACACTCTGAAGTTAGCTACGTAATCGCGACCTCGACCTACTGCAGCTTTGCTTCCGGCTCTGGCCCGTGGCATCTAGAAGTATGATATTAACTGTGAACAGTCTCATGTTCTGCATGAAAGCCACCACATTTTCGTAATCGCGTTAAAAAGCTTCTGATTCCTACAAAAACTTTCCAAATGCTCCTACAGAAGAGAAAGAGAGAGAGCGAGAGACAGTAGGAAGAGCGCGTTTTCAAATTTTATTTGACCCGTAAATCATGGCGCGCTAATCTAAAAAACAAGATTGGATTGTATTTTGAATTTGAGGTCGGGACTAGTCGACATTTTACACTGTCAAAGTCCTCAAGATTAACTTCAAAGTTTGAACTACTAAAATCATGTCTCCATTTTGAGATCACGGATATTGTTTTCCGAATTGGCATCAACAATGCTGCTGCAAACCGTCTACAGTTGCACGTTGCATTTTATTAATAGACGGTTTTTACATTTTTTCACGCTCTGATCACCAACTCTGGGCTACGAGCCCAAACAATCTTGAAGGAAGTTGCTCCATTAAGAGCTAAATCTCCTTGACCACAACATCCAAGAGGAGCCATAAAAAATCAGCTCTCCCTACTAGCTCAGAGACCATCCATGCGATTCAGCCTGCGAAAGAGAATTAGACGCCACTGCAATGGTGAAAGCTATCAACGGCTACGCCAGTTGTCGCTTCCCTTGACAGGGAGACTAGAACTTTAAACGCACCCGATTGGCAGCACTAAGCGGTGCAAAAATTCGCGACATCAGTCTCTCAAACCTTCCCGCATTGAAAACGCCTCGTTTGTCCAAATGTTGCAAATTTGGGTCATTCTCCTATCTTTAAAACTTAAGAGCGACGCACACTCTCCGCTGAAGCATGGCCAAGTACATGGCCATTTCAGTTTACCTCACCCAGAGGCACCATTTTTTTCGTGTTACATGTCAAAGGCCTAGACGGTCAAAGTACAGTGGGGATCATCAGCTTCTTCACGGGCGCCCGGCTGTAGCGTTCGTGAACGTGCTTCACCAGCGCATTTCTAAAGCCGTGAGCGCCTCCAGGTGCTTGGTCTGTCAGGCGTCAGCTTCCTGATCTCATCGATACCCAAGGTAGGCAAAAGCTTTCTAGCTGGCAAAGTGTTCCCCACAAACATTTCACTTCTATCCTCGCAGAAAAAACAGTCCTTCACGACCAGATTGTGGGATTGACTATAAGTGCCACCAAGTGCAACTGGATGTGCAATCCGCACAGAATGTCTTGACTCTAGAGGTCCGCGCTGACAAACGCACAGAAGTTGAGTTTGTGCGCTCCTACAGGAGCCAAAGCGAAAGTTTCGAAGTAATTAGGTGTCAAAGTAGCAGTACATTTAATGCTTGAACGACTTGAATTACCTTTCTCCTAACGCTCAGTAGGTCTTGCTATGGTCTAAATTCATCCTAACTGTAGCCTCATGATATATTTATTACCAATCTTTGTACAGTCGCTCTAAAAGCAAGCTCTAAATCTACATACAATAAGACACTTTAATATGAGCGATAGTAAATAAATTATTATCAACGGAATCCTCCATAACACCTATATTCGGTAACTTAAAACTGTACACAATTAATGCTGTATCGTATTTAGTAAATTTGCACCAAATGTGTGGGAAAGAAGTAAACGAGATTTCTGTGCGTGTATCGTTTCACGTGGTCAATGCTTTCTCTCTACAAAATGCAGCTAGCCCCATTGCGCCAACAATACGTCTATACATAGTAATGGTGGAGTATCTTCTCGACATATCTGCGAAGTATATTTCAATGACCACTTTGTACCGAGGCGATATCTTTGACGCCCTAGTAAAAGGATTTGGGCCGAGAAACGCTCGTTAGTCCCCGTTACAGTAGCCTTTATCATGACAGCTGATGGCCAACAAGAAAACTGACGATCGTTCTTTTTCTTTATTGTCTTTGAATTCCGATATGATAGGTGGTCCGGAAGTAGAAAGCAAACAATGACGGACTGCTGGATTCCTTGATATTGATAGAGTGCAAAAAACATTAGAGTAAAGCTTTTGTTACGGTTTGCAAAAGTAGCACGACCTTGAGCTACAGTCATAGACCATGGGTCTTTTTGTGGAACAGATGCATAATTCTAATATGAATGACGTAAGCGACAACTCAAAACTTTCATACTTACCCGTTTCAGGATCTAGCTTTCTTTATATCTAGTCTTCGTTCCAGTCTTTCTTGTTTAATGAACAAGTATTGCAAGTGACTTGTGACCTAGACAATGACAATCACCATATAGATAATGTTGAGTACTGAGCACCGCACGTAGGAATCAGCCACTGAGAAATGCTGCTGGACATCGCCCCTTGTTCTCGTGTCAAGGCAACCATCGCAGATCTCTACTGGGTCGTCACGACACCCCGATAGTCACGAAATGTATTCATGTAGGGACTGAGTCCGGCGCCATTTATAAGGTGTGCCGAAAACGTCATAAGTCAGAGAGCATGTTAGCACTTTGTCGCATACGCCATAGAAGTCAGACTGGTCCTCGCTGAGACTCAATGCATCAGTTTAAACAAGCGTATTGTTCTTGAAAATGTCATCAAATCATACCAAGGTGTCATTGCCAGAGATTCTTTTTTTATTGAATCGACACAGCGACCGCCCGATATTGTCCTTGGATCACTTTCACTGATCCTCTTAACCATTGCTTTTTCTATCGTCGCTAGCTTCCACGACTTAATTTGCTGTACAGAGCTTGTTTTTGCTATACGCACTTGTACTTGGCGCACCAGACACCATGAAAAACGTCGACGCTAGATATACTATGGGGCCATCAGTTGAACCGATCACCATTTTTCCACGAACATTTCAGGTCCCGTAAATCAGCAAATTCATACTGCTAGCCATATAATCGATGAAATGTCTGCGGAACAACAGCTTGCTGTCATCGACCTGCCCCAATTCTTGTTTGTGACGTTTCGTAAAATGATGCTTCTTCCTGTCACTTTAGCGCTTGAGATGCTAAAGGGCATCTGCACCACCCATTGTCTATAATGAAGGCGCATCATCAACTTACCATTTTCACCTCGACTAGTCTTTACCTCAATTCATTGACGATGCTTTTGCTTCATCCGAGCAAAGTGCGTTCTTCCGATACTTTGACGAACACACTGCAAGATTTAGCGCTCAACTTTAGACAAGTGATATCAGCTTTTGAATCTTCTTTCTGGGTCGAGATGTTTTGAGCACGCTAAGCCTTGGTTTTTCTATGATAAATAGCTATTTATCCATTTATAACAAGTATTGCTTGCATTTTCACGCCACTTCATGCCTACTTGTTGGTAATTCAGTTCTATACAAAGTCAGTTTTTCATATTCGTGGGAGCAGGTTTTCCCAAAATTTCAACCGACCACCTTTGCTCGAGCAGCCAATGTAGTTTTTTCATGACAGGTTGTTTCGGAACCCTTGTCAGATATGTCCAATGCTTGATTATCGGGGCTCATTACATGTTGACCAACAACATTTATAGTAGCGTATTTGACCCTGGAATTTTCATCCACAACAAGAAATTAGATGACCGCTAATGGCTTCCGCGGACTCAGTTCCGTACAGTGGTGCAAGAACCTTTATATCACTGTAACTTATAAAAAATGTAGCGGGCTCTCATGAGTTCCTAAATATCTGTGTATTCACCTTTCTTCTATCGCGGCGGTATCATTATTATGTGCTCGCTGCAGCAAATGCAGTACAACATCAAGTTAATTTAACAATGTATATCATGAAATTGATTGACTTGATGTAATGACAGATCGATGTTTAAGCTCTTGGCCACAACAACGGATACCAGAGCTAACACTGCAGACATTATTATGTAAAATCAATTAATTGAAAGCAAATCTATCGCAGTGTTACTCTTCTCTGGTCTATTGACATAGCGTACGCTCAAGCCAACGTTGTGCCATCTCAGTTTCGTTATCATGCATAAACTTGCGCCGTGCCTTCATGCTATCGCTGACCTTATGAAGCACGCCTGATCCTTGTCCTGAGAACTCCGTTGCGTGGCGCTGTCTTCTGTTGCATAGTATCATTGGACAGTTCGTCTTGGCCGTATCGGCGGCGTAATCCCATTCACATAGTTGTTCGAAATATCTTTTGTATGTAGACGTTTTAGGAGAGCCAATTCTTCGTCGTCTTCCTTCTTCGCTTCCTTGAGTGATATCAGCTGTTCCAGACTTTTTTTATAGTGATCATACTTCGGGAACCATTTTTTCATAATCCAAATGTCGGACTTTTGTGTCAGATAATTAGATTTGTCAGCATAAGCAGCGAGTGTCGTTTTGTTGTTTATAAGGTTCCTGAGTTCTTTTTTAGTCAAAGGACCCTCGCCATGTTTGTATCCAGACGGAAGCCGAAACTTCGGTTGGGACATCACTGCATCTATATCGTTTTTACCCATACAACATTTCTTGAAGATAAACATAGCAGTAGTTTCACGGGCAGCCAGTAAAGTCCCTGCGACAAGCACCAAAATCTGAAGCCGATGCATGAGCACATACTGCGACCGTTGTACAGCAAAGCTTATTGACAAGTGGGAAAATCAAGACTAAAAATTTGATAGAGGACTGGCTTGTATAACTTATGGTCAGTACACTGCATGTTTATGAAATTTTCAAGGTTATTATTGAAGTAATGAAAGTGTCGCAATTCTCGCTTTAAGAAAACCAATGCGAGAAATGACTGCTTTCCAGGCTGCACACAATCAATCCAACCTCAATTGACTATTTGACGACTTACTTACTTATCACTAGGAGCGCAGCGCTGACGTCTCCGCGGATTGAGATAGGCACGTAAGTGCGCACTTAGTTGCCGTCAGACAAAAACATGGGCTCTCCTATGGTTCAATGCTCGTTTTGTTGAAGTCGGAACCTTACGAAGGTAAAAATGATTTGAATACGGTCAATGCATCTTTGGATCGGAAAACAGAATGGAACATAAACAATCTTTCTCCTCATCGTCGTATTGGTGTACGCTGTTACTCAGAAGAAGTTATGACATTAATAATGTCTCAAGAGTACGTTACCCAAATTACGCAGGCGCACTAAATGATTGGTTTCACACTCACCAACATATAAATCGCTTGTATTTAAATAGTGTTTTTATTTAAAGTACGATTCGCTGCAAAATAATCTACGTAAGCGAATGTATCAAACACTAAGTAAGCACATTATTTCTGCGCAAAAGTAAGGTAAACATGGTGTCCGAGAGACACATTGGCTGCTAGAAAAGGAGACACCTCAATTTTGTAGATAGTACAAATTTACTAAGCTGCATTATCATACTGAATATATGTACTTTACAGAGTTTGTTACCTTAGAGGCTCTCCAGGTCAAAGCTCACGAATCTAACGTTTGTGCGTTTGTGAAGCGGACTTTAAGAGTCGGATCTTCTTCTGTGCAGAGTTCATAGCAAGCAGATTGCATTTAACAGCATTTGTAGTTAGTCTCACGAGCAAATGTTATATATCATCTACGAGGATGGAACATGAAATATTCACATTTCTGTGTCCAAACAACTATACCAGCAAAATAGGCGTCCGGCTAATTTAATCCCGATGGATCAGGGAATCGAAGGCTGAAAGGCTGAAAGCGGTGATCGCGGGTCTAGACGCGCTCACTCGCTTTAGGAATGCGCTTGTTAGACACTCCAGTGTAGAAACAAATAGGTTTCAGCGTGAGACTACTGATATTGAGGCCATTAAAAGCCGGGTGGAGAAAATTCTTTCCCTCAAAAACGATAAGTAAAAATAGCCATGAATTCAGCTTAAATTCAACCGTAGCCACACCGCGTCGAGCTTGCATCGTGCTTGCGTCTCCAAGTTAGAAGGTCTCACGCGAAAGTGGGCACTTTCATGCAATACCTCAATAAAAGAGGCGCTCCCGATGCGAGAAGCTTTAAAGCGACAGATGTCGCGGGTGCTCGCACCGCCTCACCAGACGTATCGGGTAGCTTTATATTCCTTGTTGCTCCTCACGGGGCAAGACCTAGCAAGCAAGCACCAGGGGGAACGTACAACCATCGCCGCACTGGTGTCTGACACTATCCTTTGGAATAACCGATTATGATAGATATGAATGAACTACGAACGTGTGCTACTTGCGCTCAAACCTTCCACGTCCACCCTACCTTTTTGAAGAAGCGATGAGATATGCTGAATAGAAAACCTGCGATTTCCTAGCTTCTGAGCAGCTCCACAGTATTAGCAGATGTTTCGATTGTAGTACACAGATTTTCTGTATCTTGCTTGTCCGCTTTGCTTTTGTCTGGGTTGTGCTTCCACATAAGGTCGAAGAACGATTGTCTCAAGGGGTACCGTGGAGTTCCGATATGCTAAGAGCGATCTACCAAAAAAATGCGCTCTATTCTACTTCACGTAGGTCATGGTCAATGATACTCCGACTTAAAAAGAGCGACCTTTTTTAAAAGAGGTGGGCTTTACGTGCTATAGTTGTCGATTCAATGCACTGCACTTTGTGAAGGTATTAAACACGTGATAAATTCAAAAGCGTCGTTGAATTGCGTATGACGTCAAAAACAGAAGACAATGCCCCGAATTCTGAAAGAGGCCAAAATACTAATACGATATCCGTGCTTCTTGCGACAAAGGAACTAAAAAATTGTCGAAGATCGTACTAAGTCTTAATGTGAAGCTTGAGAGACAGCAGACAATATTGTATGGCCCGCACCTAAATTTGAGATACGATATCACCCTAGGTATGGCGTGATGGAAATCCCACGAGCGATGGATCGACTAGAAATCGAAGATCTAGGCCTTCTCCTGATTGCGGTTTGGTAACGCTTGTCCCTCCCCTGCCATATAACATAGAGGGGGTTTTGATGCAGGCACCAGCTTCCGTTTAGGTCATAATGTCCCTCTTCTGCCATATAACATAGAGGGGGTTTTGATGCAGGCACCAGCTTCCGTTTAGGTCATAAGATTGCCTAAAATATACAGCGATGGTATTACCAGGTGCCCTGAACAAAGCTTAACAGGCAGAGGCCGTAGTAAGCCGTGGCCTTAGGATAAGACGGAAAATGGCGACTTTACATTGTGGTCATCAGAGACTATCTCTGTTAAGATGGGCTCAGCCAACTGCACTTTAAGGCCCCCAGGTTTTTCTCAAGCGGCTTGGTATAGAACAGTCATGGGCTGTTTTAATCTGTGACAGGGACAATGGCGAGTGGAAGCGACTGGGTGCCGCTATCTCCCTGGCATAGTCGGAGGAGTTGGATGACGACTGTAATTCGCAAGTAGAAGAGCCAAAGTAAAAAGGATGCCCTATCCATACCATGAAGAGGCGGAACAGCTGGGTCAGCACAACTGTGTGGTGAACAAACCATGCAGAGTTGTGAAGCTCCATGAGTAAGGAAGAGGAAAATTATGTACTCATAGGTGGAGTAACTGGGGTAGCACTAGGGGCTCTCAATCTCATCTCGCTGCATTGACAACGCGATTATAAAGCTGAAATTCCTCGGAGGTCTGTGCAAGGAAAAACAAGACGTTAAGGTCACCGAAATGACATAGTTTGTAACGGATGGGAGCTGAGCACGTCGCCCGATATGGTTATACTTGTCATACATAGAAATTTGCGAATTACTCAGCTAGGGTGGTGAGGGCTATACTCAAGATTTTTAAGATCCTATGGTTTACAAAGATCGTGACGCTGTTCGGTGAGATAGACCATGCATGATAAGATAGTGAAATACATCATTTAATTGACTCGACTTACGGAGCCGATATTGGGTGACAAGATAATGCATCTAGCGAAGGGTACTGTATGATATCAATGGTGTTTTCTTCCATGCGAAGCACAAAAAATGTCGGGCAAGACAGTACAATTACTCGCACTCGCAGTCGACTTTTTGTGTCGGAAAAGATAACGGCGAGTGGCCATTTTTTATCAATATTTAAGCAAATCGCAGCCACGAATTTGACGCAAATGCCAATCTTGGAAAAGGATAGACTGCAGAAAAGCATGGTCAGCTTAACTATCTCACATGCGTATAATAAGCTAAATGCAGCCACGATTTTGGCGCAAATGCCGATTGTAAAAAGAGTGTGCTGTACAACAGGTCCGGCTGCATTTTTTAGTGTTCCCAACCAAGTCGATGACATTTATCAGCTGCTGATATGATACAGTACTTCACATCATGCAGCGGTGGATATTGAGAGCGAGATGCTCTAGTAATGCCATGTAAACTGCTTAAATTAACAGCGGTGAGTAGTCGTTTGGTGACTTAGCTGAGTGGCTATACCAGATGCTTCGAATGCATTGTTCACAGTCATGTAGAGCAAGAGAAATCTTGAATATCACATTGAGCCCTTGCGACGGTGCTTAACTGTATGCACACAAATAAATATCTCTTAATATAAATTGGGGTGAACTTGGGGCCGAAGAAGTTTCCTTCCAGATTTTCAACCAAAAATAGGGACTCCGGATCCCTCAAATAAAAGGCATTAACTGATCGATTAAGGTCTCTGCCTTAAAGCTCTTTAAGAAGCGGATTGGCATGATACGACTTATCATCGATCGTCTTAAATTGACACAAAATTGTGCCAAGTCCTCGGCAACTGAGCACCAAACACCCGGGCGACGAATTTCTGCGTCGAGGATTCGGAGGAAGTCGACTTCGAGTCGGATACTTCTTTCCCGGTATGAAAAGACAAGGAGGGCGGGGTTCGCTAACGGCGCGACGTAGCTCAGCTCAAACTTTGCGACCACCGAGCCCCTTCTCCATCAAGTATAATGTGCACCAGCTTGGTTGTTTCTGATCTATACATATCATACATCGTTAAGCACAGCGACGGCATCATCAAATCTCTCACAGTGAATTTCAAGATGGACATTCTTCTTTGCTGAGTATAACATTGAGGTAGAAATTATGCAGGGTCGGCTAAATTTCGTGGTAGACGCGCTTCCGCGTCGCTTCGATAAATCTTGTCAAAAAATCACAATGGTGGTGCTACCAAAGATGAGGCGATACGTATAGCTTATGGGTCGAATGCAAATTTTGCTGTGCTGCTGATTGATTTGGTTAGCAATGAATTTGAGAGTTTAGATGTTGATAAATTAAAGCGCGAGATTGCACTCCTGCATCGCATGGCTGTATTTAAAAAGTACATAGATGGATAGCCAGACTTTGCCGGAACCGGCATGCTGCTCAAGTTCCGCGCCATGCAGTGGAGGATTGACCCGCTGCTATGCACACATGTGCTAACTCGCGTTTACATTTCTAATTGAATAGCGCTCACCAGCAAAATGTCTTCATCAACCGAGTTGGCCAACTAAGACCTCTCACATGTTTCACACCAAAATTATATCATGACGAGCCACCACTCGTGAAGTTTTGTAATACAGGGCTTTAGCTTTTGGTGTTCCAAAGACATAATACCAGTAATGTGATATTTGTGGACTATTTGAGCAAGATTGCTCATCTTGTTGCAGTCATCGATAAAACGACAGATGAGAATATTGTCAAACTGTTTCACTACAAAGTGTTTTGCCAACATGGCTTGCCGGTGGTCATTGTATCCGATAGAGATCTGCGCTTTACAGCAAAGTTTGGCAAAAATAATTTAAGATGCCGAAGATTGGACATGTCAGTCACTGACCAATCGCAAACAAATTAATAGACAAAACTTGTGAGGCGCGTTGCGAGAGATTTTATAATGAGCACTAGCGCGGAAAGACTACTGTGCTGGAGCAAATTCTTCTCGTCTCTCGGTCATGCGTTAAATAACGCAGTACGTGCCTCTAATGGCGTTACCCAACTTTACAAAATGGTTTGGTCAATATCCTGACGCCTTCACATGATCGCGAAGCAACCCCGGCCTTTGGCAGGAGCGGCTGTCGATTTAGTTCGCCTCGCTAATATCAAACCGGTCGCACATAGAAAAAATATCATTGGTTCTATTTGGATCAGATTAAGCGTCATGAGCAGGGTAAGCGACGCCTTGACTAGGCACAACGACTTTAAAGGCAGCACACCGATGTCAGGGACAGGCAAAAATGCACTAATATGCTGTGCGCTCTTTGATCGTAATTAACGAATCTACACAAACAACGTCTGCAGTCTTTAATACCGATTGCGTTCCGGTTACATTGGACCGTTCACAGTCTCAGCAAGCAAGGGGTCAACTTGTACTCTGAAATTCCCGACGAGATTTCAAACACGTCCAGCTGTCTTTATGAGCTGTTGGAGCCCTACCACAACCCACTCTGACAAGGCAGTCCAGTTGGGGGGCTCAGGTCAAGCAGTACGATGGCGAAGCTCAAGGAGGGATTCTACGACCCAGAGATAACAACCTTGTTTGCGCGCCATGACATTCAGGCGGACTCGACGCACCACCATTAGCAGGATAGATCACGAAAGTTGGTTGCTGGAGGGTCAATCTTCACCGGCATTGCACGATGAGTGAAGGACCGCCATCTTTCATACGTCTGACAACAGGCGGGTGAACCAGGGCTCTTCATCTTATCTGGTGAATTGAAGAGTTTACACTGAAAATGGAAATGGAATGGTCATCTGTATTCCATGCAAGTTTGTGACCCCGCTTCGGCTGAATCGCTTTGGTGTCGTGACCGCCCACGACTTGGCAACCCCATGGTTTTAATTAGGCATGCTCGCCCGTCGCAACGCGTTGATTACTAGTGATAGGTGACCGATCTCCGTGTATCGACCCTTGACTAGTAAAAATAACAGCTGGCACATGAAGACAAACTGGTCTGTAAGCAGTACAGATTAAAGTGATGGGTTGTTACCACGACGTCCGTGTCGTGCTTTGAATCTTTGAGTCAAACGTAAGACGACGCTCAAGACGTCGCTGATGCTAGCTTGTAGAAACTTTGGACGGGTGAAACGGCGTTTTTCCTCGCATAGTGACCAAGCAGATTCTTATAATCAGCGATACTATCGCCAGCTTCTACTACCCCAGATACACCCTCAGAGAGTGTAGGGGGTTATCTGGGCGCTGCTTCAAGCGCACAAAACGGTCGCGGAGCGACTTTTTCGCACTTCATTCGCTCTAGGTGCGAGCGGAAAACCCCTCATACATAGGCGTGTTGGGACCCTACACCAGCGCGTCGAGCAACTTCGGACGCGATACAACCGTCATCACGTCGAGATTAAGGCAAGAGACGGCGTGACTTTTACGATTGCAGTAAGCAAGCTGGACTCTCCGATCCAGGACTATTTGCTGATATTGAGCCGAATATCATTGTGGGCTCTACGTTGGGGTGCCGAAACACTTTCGCCAAAAGGAAAGGGCATAGAGTTTGCGAACCGTGCAACTGGTAGCTGAGCGCAGTGAGCACCTTCTCTCTGGATGATGACTAGAGTGTGTGTCGCCGGGCAAGATTGTATGTGTTTGGTCAAGACTCGGGGTTATAGCCCGTTTCCTCGGATGACATCTCGGGATTCTCGACGGGAATTTCGTTAAGCGCGTCCTGCTTTTTAGCAAAAACTTGTTGAGCCATCCTATTCGGTACATGGGAAAAAACTTTTAATGCATGTACGCATAGAAGAGCAGGAACGGCAAGTTGCAGAAAGAGGAGTGGTACGTCAGGGGTAATTTTGCAAAAGGTGATTGCTCCCACTGAGTCATAAAATGATGAAATAAGTGTGAGGTCAAATGTGGTCCACTTCTTATTAGCTCGCTTTGCTATTTCGAGAGAAAAATATATTTCAGTATCTCTTATCAAAAAACGTTGATTTTTCAAACATGCGGTCTGTCTTTTCGGGTGTTTCGTAGCTTTTCTAAATTTGGATACTACGGTACTTATGAATATCCAAAAATTCACCGAGTGGAATGATACCGTATTGTGCTTACTATACCAAATGTCTTAAATGCTCCGAGTATGGATTTAGCGTTTAATAAACGGTATAATAATATCTTTTCCAGGAAGAAAATCCTTCGCCTCCTTAGACCATGTAGACCTAATATTTTGGAAAAGACCTTACAGAAAAAAGAACGCTTGGCTGAAAAAGTGGAATATTGTTTATAAACGAAAGAATATATTCATGAAACTCAAATATCGACATTTTTGCCAAAAGATTCAATGTATGATATTTAGTGATATTTTAATTCGATGCACCCAAGTGCTACTATCAGGCCAAAAGTAAAGACCATGGGCGGATATAGCTCTTTATACTAATCTAACTTAGTCATCATCATCATCGTAAGTGTGTTGGGCTTTGTTGTCAGCCTTCTTGGCAAATCCCTTAATTTTATCGGCCCACGAGTCAGCAGTTTCTTGGACTTTAGATGTGACATTAGATGCTGTGCTTCTTAATTTGCTCTCAGCTTCCTCTTTCCCATCAATTGCGCGGTCGCGCGCATTGCGAGCACGTCCCTTGACCTCTTCAGCCACATTGTTCGACTTGTCTTTAACTTTGTCACGCACATTCCGAGTACGTCCCTTGACCTCGTCAGCCACATTGTTAGACTTGTCTCTAACTCTGTCACGAGTTTGGCGAGCACGACCCGTTGCCTCTTCAGCGGCATCATTTGACTGATCCTTGACTCGATCCATCCAGTCATTGTCCGAATTCTTCCAGCTGCGCTTGCCTTGGTCCTTATTGCGCTTCAGCACATCCTGTGCTCAAAAAATCCAGAACGTCAGAAGCAATTTGTTCAACAAAGAAAGAAAGACCACTGTACCTGGACACACTGGCGATAGTCTTCAGTCTCTTGTTCACAGCTATGACGGTCGTACGAACCTCCCCACAATTTCTGAAACCAGTCACCATAACAGGCTTTGACACGATCCTTTTGTTCTTGACACTCGGCAAATGCGTTCATTATCGTTGTGTGTTGCTCTGTGATTAATTGGTAATGAGATTCTTATGGCAACGAAAGCTTCTTCCGGTCAGGGAAGTGGCGCAGGATGTCGCACCCATCGTAGACGTTCTCTAGCAAATGAAAAACGGCGCAGTTTTTGCGACCTTTAGTATATAATACTGGTTACGTCATCCGCGATGGTCGTAAGAAACTTGTGAGATCGTATTTCCTTTCTAAGTTCATATATTTACAGTTAGAAAGAAAGTGGCTGTCAGCATTGGCTGCCTGCAAGTTGCGGCTGCAACGGCTTGGATCGGCTTTCGCAGGGAAATATCGGACACAATAAAGACTTCACGTAGATATAACCCGATAGCTTAACTTAACTATACTTGAAGTGAGGGCCGGACTGTCATCAACGGTAAGGTCCACCAGTTCGGTTCTTTACTCCCTCTTTCACAGTCAGAGCCAGCAAGACTTTTGCCGGCTTATTCGTCGAGTCACCATCACAGTCACTCTTTAGTCCCACCACAGTGCTCGCTATGCCTCCTACTGGCCGCAGTCTTCGCAACATGATGCGTGGCAGCTCGTCGTCTGAGAGTTCAGGAATGTCTGACGAGAATGAAATTCAGATGCAAGGCTGGATGCGAAAGCAGAAAGAGACACTGCGGTCATGGGCGCGGCGATACTTTACGCTTAATGGAAAGGTGCTCACCTATTTTGATAGTGAAGACACAAGTCGTGGCGCACGTGGTGTGATCGAGTTTGTTGACGTGACAGCTCTTACAACCGAAAAGAATGGACTATCACTTCATTTGGTGAATGGTAAAGAAGTTCGGCTTATTGCCGACACACACGTGGCTTTTGCAGCCTGGCTTGCTGTACTTTCGGCTGCTGTTAAAAGACCACGTACTAGTCAAAATCGAACTAGCAAAGAAGGATGGGCCCATTGTCTTACTGACGACGATGTTTGGACACGATTTTTCGTTGTAATCAAACATGATAGCTTTAGTTGCTACGAATCCGAAGATGACGATGCTGAACTTGCGCTTTCTGGACTCATTCGCGCTGTTGATGAGTGGAATGGCAAACGTTTTGGTGTTGTCTGTTCTCTAAATCGTGGTCGTACCATCAAATTGTGTTTTGACTCTGCTGAAGAGAAAATGTCATGGTTTCTTACGCTTGAGCTTTCTGTCTCGTACGGAGCTGCACGAATGAAGAAAGAAGCGTCAGTTAAGAACAGCAATAGTGACCATAACCCTGCACTACGTGCTGAAGCATCCAAGTCCGACCTTGCCAATGCTGCTGCAGATGATGGCGTATGGATTTAATCTATGAGATATCTGATAACTAAACGGGGATAGAGGAACGATAGAGCTTTTAAAGTGCTTTATATCCGCTTTTGCAAGAGGAAGGGATATAGCCTATCCCCCGATGGCACGCTACATTAGTGAATATTGTGACCACTGCAATGATGGTTGCGCTTGGGGTCAAATACTTTTTGGTGTGGTGCTGCTATAGCGCTGTAGAAAGAGGTTCATTTTAATGTTAATATCAATAAATGAGAGTGTATTGAGCCTATTGCGAGCTGGTAGCAGCACTTGACTTGAGCTCGAGACATAAGGCTGATTACGGTATAGACTCTATCGTGATTACAACAGTTCTTAAAACCCAAAGCTTTATTGCAAAGCGTGCTGGATACAAGTGTTCATGAGAAAGGCAAACAAATATATATATATAACTTTCGAAAATCGAAGTCGAAAATATTTCAGCGATACTAATACTAGTGTACTTAAATCTTTGTGCGGGGTGTAACTACTTGATGCCTAAGCTTTTTGACGTGTGTCTGTTGTGCTTGCCGTTGCACTATTTCGACTTCTAAAAGTACTTTATATGCTCTATGTGTTCAGACAAAGATGTTGTAAGCTCTAAAAGCTTTTCATGTCTAGAATGCATAACACGAGTGTATATGTAGTATAGTTAAAGCTACAGTCAAAGTAAGTGATATCCAGCTTTACTCCAATATACCGCTAACAAGATTACTTAGGATTGCATCCCACAGTGACGTTCCACCTCCAGTTTGCAAAGGGTAACTATCCATGTCTTTAACGAGCTGTGTGCGCCAACAGACACAAATGTGTATTCGCGTCCTTTATAGTCCAAATCTTACAAAAGTCATAAGGGAACGACAGGACCTACTTTTCCGAAAGAGTGCAAATCAAATCATCATAACACAGCCTCTCACTAAATGGTGTCAGGGCGCGACTGCGGTGGATTGCTGTGCAAATCGCACAACAGAAGCTATGATTTAACGAGTTCTCGTTCTCAAACGCACAAAGGAAGGGTTTTGTATTACATTCACGAGCAAACCGAAAGCGTTTGTTCTTCCTTTCTAAGAGTCCAGTCATTGTTATGTTACCTAAGAAAATGAACCCTATGTACTGTATTGCGCTAGATCAATGCATGACAATCTTAATAAGTAATTTTATATATGCTGCATTCTTACTATGAACTTGATATGTAGTCGCACTTCTGTTGTGAAGGCTACTATTCGGCTAACTGGTAATGATCACGATGCATTGGTACGCCATTACTTGCGTTTCAAATTGTTGGCGACAGAGGCAGCAGCGGACGGAACTTCGCAAAAGAGGTTTTCATGATGTAGAGATTGGGACGAAATTTATGGATGTCTTAAATATAGATTAGAAGGTCTTCAATCACTGCACTTTGTTCGAATTTGAGGACGGCTAAAATGGCGGATGCTTGATAAATCGCGTGCAACGACTAACACATACGCGACGACCTTTGATTTGCTTGGGCCGATACACCGATCGTGCTCCGAGTGGCCCGAAAGCTGCATCGAGCTGAACAAGCGTCAGTCCTAACCGTTTCTTCTCTGGAACTTGGACATACACATGACAGAAAAAAACTTTCAAGTTTGCCAGCAAAGATTACTTGCTTGCTTGGTAGAGTTACCGACAGTGCGTGTTGGCCACCGACTTCGAAGTAAAAAGCAGTCGCTACAGCGTCACCCCAATTCGTCGTTGGCAAACCAGCATTTCGATCATTCAGCGTAAAGTGATCCATGCACTCAGCAACTCCATGAAGCTGAGGTGTGTATGGCGGTGTAACTTCTTCACTAGGACAAGCCTGCAAAGAGCTTACCGTTGTACTAGAAGTGTATTCTCCGCCATTGTCGTACTGAAGGGTTTTGACACGCCTATTCGTCTGATTTACAGTCAGCGCGATAGAGGTTACAAACTTGTCGGCTACCTCAGACTTGCTAATAGGTACAAATTGACGTCGAAAATTATGACGAACGAGCGCTTCCTACAAGACGTTGGTGTCTGTATTGGACCGCACACGTCGCTGTGAGCGACTTAAAGCACGTTTTAGCACGATGTGGGGTTGACTTCATAAGATTGGAACCGTTTTGCTTTCCAAGTGCACACCGATTAGAGAACTTCTGCTGGTATCATGATGTCAAGTTGATACCAGTGCCATATTCTTTTGTGACAATAGTATATTTTCCACCATGGCTAGTGTGACCGTGTCAAAGATTGCTTGGGGTTCTTCGTTGTGTCCTCATCACATTTCAACGCGCATGCCACGAATCCGCCACCGAAAGGGAACTTATACACAACTTGTACAATCTTCTGCCTTCACGGACTCCATGTCTCCAGCGAAGGCCTTTCGGTTCGGCAGGGCATCCGTCTTGCTCAAAATCGACTGGATTCACATCCTTGGTACACCGCCCAGAAAAATATAAGCTGGACGAGAGCTTTGGGGATACCAAACCGTTGACAGCTCACTCTTCTTCACTCCACGCGGTGTCGTCATCGTATACGGCAGTATACAGTTGCTCTTTCAAGACTAATTGTGCAACTTCGAATCACTGCTGCTTCCGCCATCCGAGCCAAGCTCTAGGCATCTAGCAATACGATTGGAATCGCTTACAAAAATAGAGTATCCTGCATGGAAGTTATCGCAGTTTCATAACCGCATCAAAAGCGCTTCTGTCTCCTATAAGAGGTGTGGGTTGGTAACTCAATTAAATTGCGTAGTACCTACTTTTGTTAACTTTCAGTCGACCATTGGAATCTGGAGCTCCAACAACGCTGTATCTAGAACGAAATCAATCCTTGAATTAAGTATTCGGATCAGATAATGCTTTCCGCTGTCAATTCTTTCAAAAGTCACATAAAATCTAAATGAACCTTTGACATGCCCTCGTTGCACGACGCACGATTATTGTATTCCTTTTTGGCTTCTCGATGACTCCGCAAATTGTCTACTAATTTGTTGTCGCGCGGCATTCAGAATTGCTCGACGCTTCTAGATCTATCGGCACTTTCCACGGATCCACAAAGCTCGAGTTTCAACAACCGTGGGCTATGAGCTACACTTTTTAAAGAAAGTCTGTAACGGGGCTTCACGCACCCAGAGTGTTACAAGGTTACACGTACCCTTGTATGAAAATGCGGGTCACACAAGATGGTGGGACCGTACAAAGGTGGATTACACAAGTCGGTGAGATCAAACAATGGTGTGGCTACACCGTAACAGGTACGTGGCAGGACACCCACTGGTTATTCATACTAACAGGTTTTCCTATTTAATTGGAAATACCTAAGGTTGTAGACATAGGCAGCTCTGCCTCAAATAAACCATTAAATACAGTTTCAATTTTGAACAAAAGAGCGTCTTTGCCTTGGTTAAGGATTCTGAGTACTCTTCAAGGAAGCGGGCTGTGATTCGCTACACTCGTACTGGTTCTGGTATCGATCGTTAGGTTGGTGACCCTAGCTAAGCTTCCTATGAGCAAAGAGCTACGGCAACTTCTCTGCGAAGTCGCCTCTTATCAAGCCGGGCCCGTTAACCACGACCACCATGAGGAACAGTAGAATACAGCTTTCCTCCAACAACTCAAAGACTAGCCATGCGAATGGTGACCATTTTCGCCCCGGGTGAGGGCTTAACACCAATTATTGACGGAAGCTACTAACTCCAATATACACTTTCCGGTTATCGCTTTCTTTGACGGACAGACAAGAACTATCTGCGCAACCTATATCTGGTCAGGCAGTGCAAACTTCCGTGACATCTGTTTCAAGACTTGCCACGTTGAGAACGCCTCTCATATAAAGATATTGCATATTTGTGTTATTTCTGCTATTTTGAAGACCGCACGCGTGACGCACAGTGTTCATTGAAGTATAGCGCAATCCATGGCCATCTCAACTACCGTCATACAAGGGCAAAAAATTGTTTGGCTTCCAACGGTCTGGATGCTGGACACCAGCGGTCTCTTGTTATGTGCATTTTTTCTACGATCAGCGCTCTGCTACTTTGTTTCAAAATGTGCCTTCCCAGAGCATTATCGAAGCTGGTGAGTGCTTCCAGGTGATCTTACACCACCCCCCGCTCATTTGCCTCCGCTTCTCTGATCTTATCGGGACCAGCGATAGACATAAGCTTATCTAGCTGGTCGAGATGTTCCGAGGATAGTATTTACTTTGTGTTCCATCCTCAGTCCTTGACGACTCGGTCGAGTAATTGACTACGAGTACTGTGCAACAGAGCTGCAGTGTACCTTATGCAGGGGAAGTTCCGACTTAAAAGGGTTCGCGTACACAAACCTTCGGAGGCCTGTGCGCTTTTTTCAAAAGCGGAACAGACAATTTCTATCGTGACTAGGTGACTATTAAGTTATTCATCATACCTAATGTTAATTAGACTCGAGCTTGATATATTCGTTTGCTATCGCTTAGTATTTGAACAGCTCCTCACTTCTGATGTGTGGCTAACAGCCTACATTTATGACAGACCCTCCTCTTCGGCGTTCTGTTATCTTGATTAATACTGATACTTTAATATTTTAATAAGTGCGATGTGAATCTCGCTCATGGTTTAGAAGGCGCCACGGAGCGACTATTACACTCGTTTTGCTCCGTGTGATCTGATGAAAAGGTGTTGCAGCAGCGCGACTAACGAGTCAGAACCGTGATCACAGTGTGATTCAGGCAAGAGTCGGAGTGGCCACCACGTCAACTTTAGTTTTTAAGACAGTAATTCAAGTAAAAATTTATATGAATTTCGTACAATTGTATCAATTACAGTATTGTAGATACAATACTAAATCTAATACAATTGTACCCAATGTCTACTCAAGATTACAGCCTTCACCTCGTTACAAATGCCCGTCATACCTAAAGCAACTTGAGAGTTGATACCGACTGTCAATGCAGTGGCCGTCGATGAGTTTAAAGATCATACAAGATGAGCTGATTAGCTCAATACCATTTGCCATCAATTAATCAGATGCAGTTCATGACTTAAGGCAATAAAAGAATATTCCAAGGTCGCAAGCTAAGAAATAAACCTGTTTAAAGTCCTAAGAGCGAAGATAAGGGTCAAAAGTATCACATCTATCCATCTTAGTCACAAGAAATGACAGTAAGAGTACGATGATGTCAGTGAAATTGCGCCGTCTTTATTAAGAGTCTGTATATGTTTTGTGCTTTAAACGTCTGAGTCGAATTTCATCAGTCACAGATGGAAGAATGACATAATATAGAGGCGGAGCCATCTCAAAGTTATTCTTCATATGATAGGTTACGTTTAGTAATTCAGCCATCCCAGCCATCCACCGTATGTATTTCTAAAGCGCAGCACTTCAAATACTCTATTGTATACAAACATCAAATACTATTCGTCCATCAATCGTCTTTCCTCGTTCAAAAGGCTTAAAGTCATGATGCGTCATGAGTGCAAATTCCACAAATGGAATCAGCGATTCAAGAAGACATTTCATAAGCAGTCAGCACTTCCAGTATCAGAACAAGTTCGTACGGCTGGTATTGCAATGCATGGTCCAGACGGACGCATTCAGCTAGACGTAGCAGAAGAAGAAGAGATTGATATGAATGTGCTACGACGTCACTCGAGAAGCACAATTGATACAAACGAAAGTCTGGAGCTCCTGAAATCGTGTACACCACCACATCTTAACATTTGTATCATGATTGTTGGAACTCGAGGCGATGTGCAGCCATTTCTAGCCATTGCAGCGCGTTTACAACAAGATGGACATCGAGTACGATTGGCAACACACGCGGTTTATCGTGACTTAGTTATAGGTGAAGGAGTTGAATTTTACCCTTTAGGTGGAGATCCAAAGGAATTAGCGGCGTATATGGTCAAAACGGGTGGTCATCTTATCCCAACAAAAGTTGAGGTGATTCAAAAAGATGTGCCTCGTAATTTACAAATGATTGACGAAATTTTACACTCAACATGGCCTGCAGTGACATCTGCAGATCCAGATGGAGGTGGCGTTGGGATTAAAGGTCCACCCTTTCGAGCTCAGGCTATTATTTCAAATCCTGTGACTTATGGACATATTCACGTGGCGGAACGGCTTGGTGTACCGTTGCATATTATGTTTCCGCAGCCATGGGTACCTACCATTGCATTTCCACATCCATTAGCCAACATGCCGTATACCGGAAAGGCACAAAAAAGAAATTATCTATCGTACAAACTTGTCGATTTGCTTATGTGGCAAGGTACAGAAGGGATCGTGAATGAGTTTCGCACTGAAGTATTGGGATTGCGTAAAATTCGCAAGGGCGATGGTGGACGAGATATGTTACTAGACTTGCATATTCCCCATGCGTTCATGTGGAGTCCTAAACTTGTACCGAAGCCTAAAGATTGGGGTGATTTATACGATGTTGTGGGCACAGTCGTACAAAAAGGAACAGCGTCTTCGTATACTCCAACTCCAGAGTTGGAAGCATTTTTAGGCTTAAATGAAGGTCCGATCCTTGTTGGTTTTGGGTCTATGGTGCTCGAAGACCCAAAAGGCACGACGGAGATGATTATTAAAGCTGCGATGCAAGCAAATGTTCGTGTACTGATTCAATCGAGCTGGAGTGACATGGCAGGGAATATGACAAACCCTGAGAATGTTTTTTTTCTCGGCAATTGTCCACACGACTGGCTCATGCCGCGTGTGAGTGCTGTAGTGCATCATGGCGGAGCAGGCACAACAGCAGCAGCTTTACTCGCTGGCAAACCTACATTTATCGTACCTTTCTTTGGTGATCAGCCTCTCTGGGGATGGGCAGTTGAACGAGCAGGAGTGGGGGTGACTCCATGCCCAATTGAGAAATTGACAACAGAAAAATTGTGCAAAGCATTCAAAGCTCTTCAAAACCCCATGATGCGTAAACGCGCATTGACTTTGCAACAGAAAATGCAGCAAGAGGATGGAGCAGAAGAAGCAGTACGATGTTTCTACCGTCATTTACCGATACAAGATATGCGCTGCGATTTGGACGATGACAGAGTCGCAACAAAATGGTGCCGAACGAACAAATTGAAACTTTGTGATGTTTGTGATTTTGTGATTGCGTCACAATTTAAAAAGTATGATCGAAAAATTGTCGACTATCATTTTGTCGACTATACGGCCCGTGGACCTGCTCATGGTTTTGCAGGTGCCTCATCCGGTGCTGCGGCGTTCTTTCATGAATTGGGTGGTGCTTTTAAAGATGTAATTGTGAAACCGACTCGAGGTTTTCGTGAAGATGGTCCAAAGGGAGCAGTGATTGGAGTAGTAAAAGGTGTAACAGGACTTGTGATCCGCCCAATTCATGGTGTCGCGTTGTTTGCTGATCATATTGCTGCAGGCCATGCAAATTATCTAAATGAAAGGGGCCACCGAAAACGTGGCAGTGTGTTTGATCAAACTTTTATGGTAGCTCTGGGCAAGGAGAATGGCTTAAAGGATTCGTATACTTTAGGAAATAGCTCCGAAGACATGGAAATGTGGCAACTCATTGGACCAAAGAAAGAAGTACGACCGAAAGTAGAGCTTGTTGTGACGAATGAAGATAAAGACAAGTACCGAGCACGATTTCGAGAGCTTATAAGCGAGAAGGAAAGCCGTCGCGACTCGGTTGATCGCATACAACGAAGTTCTTCCTCGTCAACCACTGTATCCGATGTAGAAAGTGAATTATCACCGAGAGACAGCATCTCTATACTCTCTGCGGACTGCACAGCAACTGGAAATATTGGTGTGAAATTCTATATGGGAACCAAAAGCCCAGACAGCTTAAGTGATGACAAAATTGAGGCGTGGCGTCAATATGCACGACTGCAAAAGTTCAAATCCGAGCGTTCTCTCAACATTTTTGCTGGTACAATCGTACCGCCGATGAATCTTTGTCTTGCAACGATAGGTACGTGGGATAATAACGTGAAACAACTCGTAGCGATTGGACTTCGTATGGCAGCAGATGGTCATCGTGTTCGAATTGCCGCAAATGAAGAATTTCGATCGGATATCATGAGCCGCGGTCTCGAATTTTACCCATTAGCAGGTGCCATGAGAAATTTTCATGACTTCGTTAAGTATCTGCACGATACAAGAAACGCTAATGTGATCCAGAAACATAAAGCTGGTCGTCCGGTTCTCGGACCTTTTAAAGATCTCGTCTATTCTTTGTGGCCCGCTGCAAATGGTACGGATCCGCACGGTCGTGGACACAATATTCCTGGGGAACACTTTCGAGCTGATGCATTACTATGGCATCCGTTATTATTTGGTCATGTGCATGTTGCAGAGCGTCTGGGCATTCCACTTCAGTGTTTCAGTTTGATGCCGCTGTCTCCAACATATTCCATGCCACATGTCTTAAGTGCGTTTCTTATGGACAATACGAGTGAACTCGGAAATGAATTTAAGAAAACCAATCGATTATCGTACGGAGTTGTGGATACTCTCATGTGGCGAGGTATGGAAGATATTCTAAATGAATTTCGAGAACATATTGGTTTAAGAGGGCGTTTTACCCAACCGAGTCCACTTGTGGAATGGGAGATTCCACACATTTACTTATGGAACCCTGCACTGGTGCAGCGTCCACTAGATTGGGGACGTGAGCTTAGTGTAACAGGTTACGTGACTCTTAATGACGAGCTCGAATTGGCGAGAATGCGTAAATTTAAGTGGAGCCGCTCTTTGAATGATTTCACACTAGCTACACGGAATCCGGTCATTTACTTTGGTGTATCAACATATTGTCTATCACTTGATCAGATCGATCAGATTTTGCACCAGATTGACAAGGCAGCAGAGCAATCAAATGTGAAAATCATCTTTCAAGCTCGTGAAGGAGAGAATGACCGACCACTTTACCATTCCGATTATATTTACCAGGTCGAGAGTGATTTTTCTTATTCACTTATCCTGCGCAAAGTCACAGCTACTATTCACTGGGGAGAACCCGCGATTGTTGAAGAAAGCCTCGCAGCAGGAAAGCCCGTTGGTGTTTGTGTCAGTGTATCGACCCAGTATTACGCTGCTTGCGTGTGTGTGACTGCAGGTGTTGGTATCGCGCCCATTGATTTAACGACGTGTACGACAGAATCGTTGGTTTCGTCATTTCACGATATTCTTCAACCTAAATTACAAGTCAAAGTTCAGGAACTTGCCAAAACTTTCCATCCACAGCAAGCACTCGAGACTACAGTGAAACAATTTTATATGAATTTACCGTTGCAAGCGATGCGTTGTGACATTGACGAGAATAAAATCGCTCGTATCTACGACCCTCACTTGGAACTCAAGTTGTCATTTGAGGCTTATGTCGCAATACAGCCCCTTCGTACCCATTCTGACACAAACGACGTGATCTACAAACCTTTGTGGTATGACGGTCGTCGTCCGGCAAAATTTATGCTCCGAGATTGTGCTGCTGATGAAGAATCCTATGACGAAAAGCCAGACCACGGATTTAAATCAATTCGAAGGGCACTCATTTCGTTTGCATCCCACGAGTCCATGACTTCATCATCGGAAGCTCCTCGAGCAGTTTTGTCTCGATTGAAAAGCCGAGGGGCTGTGGTGGTCGAGAAACCGAAATACTGGTCAACGTTAGAAAATGAAGCTTTGGAAAGCAAAGCAATTGTAGAAAAATATGAAAAAGTGCTTCTACAACGTGCTATTGACCAGTCAAGTCTGCAATCTCGAAAAGTATTGACACGTCGATGAGAATTGAGTGTTTCGATCCTCAAGTTTCGAGTTTAGATACTTCAAAAGATAAAATTGACTCGAAACAAGCTCAAATAGTTTCCTGTTAAAATGTTTCGTACCCGGCACTTCAGAGCCACTAAACCAATGCTCATGCCATTGATGAACAAAGAAGTAGCACGGACATGAATACAAAACATTTTGATGATTAGTCTTAATGACACTGTATTCATAGAGTTACTATATCTTATCGTGCTTTTCTCTTTTAAACAACAGAAACAGCAGATGCAGCTGACAAAACCGACACATGACTCCTCTTTTCATCTGACACGCTCATCTTGTCTTCGCCTTGGTTTAAATTATGTTCGCGTTCCCACTGCTCTGTACGAAACTCATTTTCAATCTTAGCCATCACAACAGAAGCTAGACAATTCCCCATGACGTTCGTAAGCGTACGCAGCATGTCCATGATCCAGTCCACGCCAAGAATTAGAGCAACAGGCCACGACGGAACGTCAAATTGGTCGAGAGTTGAGGCAATGACGATGATTGAAGCAGACCGAACCCCAGCAACACCTTTAGAGGAGATCATGAGCATTAACACCATAACAATTTGTTCTCCAATTGACTTTTGAACCCCTGCAGCTTGAGCACAAAATACAGCAGCTAAAGACAGGTAAAGAGTCGAACCGTCTAAATTAAATGAGTACCCAAATGGAACGACAAAACTTGAAATGTGAGTAGCAACACCGTATTTTTCAAGGGCTTCAAAGACTTTCGGTAAAGCAGCTTCAGACGTTGCCGTCGTGTAAGCAATAATGAGCGGTTCTCGCATAGCATTTAAAAACTCAAAAGCGTTGATCTTGAATACCAAACAGACGGAACCAAAGACAATAATAATAAACAAAATGATCGTCACGTAAACGGTGGCAACGAGAGCACCTAGACTACCTAGAGATGAAAGTCCATTCGATCCGACAGCATCAGCAATGGCAAAGCATACTCCCAAAGGAGCTGTCCATATAACAATGTCTACAAACTTAAACATCATTTCAAGAACGGCTCGGGCAAAGTCAATGATCAACTTCTTTTGCTCATCCTTAAGCTGAGAGGTGGCTACACCAGTAAGAATAGCAGCAACTAGAACCTGAAGTAACTCGGACGAACCTGAGCCACCCATCATTTCACCCCATGTTTTGGGCGTCAAGTGATTGATAAACTTTTCAAAAGTCATGCCTGCATCCGATCCACTTTCATACTCTTCACCTTCAGGTAACCCAACGTTTCCAGGTTTTACGAGATTGACGGCAATAAGACCGACGACCAGAGCAATAGCAGTGATAAATTCAAAATAAATGACCGATTTCAATGCAAGACGACCGAGCTGCTTCATATCCTTCTGGTCAGCAATTCCGATCAACAAGGATGAAAAGACAAGTGGAAAGACAATAAATTGCACGGTACGAAGAAAAATATTTTTCATTGGGGCAGCCTGTTCGGAGAAATCGGGAGCAAATTGACCAAGTAAAATACCAACAATCATGCTAACAACAATCCAAAATGTGAGTGACGTAAGTATTTTGTGGGTCCATGACTTTGTTGCGGGAGCTGGTGTCTCCATATTCTGGTAATTTACAGCCATTGCGATAGAAGCAGAAATGGATTTCGCTTCCGTCGAAATGATAAAATGAATGGTACTGCCTTTAATTTAAGAGCCGGATGTATAAAGTACAGCTGTTTAAAATACGGTCTCATATCTTTCTATATCGCAACCATATAATGTTGTAATTCATTGGGAAATTTTCGATTAGATAACAAAACACAGAGAGAAACTATTCTATTCTATTGCACAAAGAGCCTCATTGAAACTTACCATTTCTCTTATAATCGACGAATCATGAATTTACATCTGGCAAATCTCTGATCCTGCAGCAAGCGTTTACTTCAACTGATCGTACGGCATGTGGGTTGGTATCTTTGAAACAGATTGATTGCTCATATTGATGCCTTGTTTTGTTGTCATGGCTACACGTAAAATTCCTCTTAAACTTGCTTACTCAAAAGTTAAATTACGTTTCGTTGAATTTTCTGGATAACCCCTTTGGCCCATTAAGAGGCCAAATTTCCGCGCGAATCCCGGAAAAGCTTTGAGTTCAGAGTTCGCAATTATGTGTGCCTGGGATTTTTAATTTGTCGCTGAAGACACTGATAAAACGAAACCACTACACGAGTATCCAATACCGGCGCGCTTGATAAAGTTTACTGCAATGACTATAAAATGATCTTCAATGTAACGGTCCTGATGACTCTCCGCGTCTCTCTCCAGCGCAACAAGGCCTAGCCATGTAAGTTGAAGCGCTTACGACGCTCAGTCGCCCCTAGCACGTGTCTCAAACTCAGACATAATTACAAACGACAGGAAGTCACCCGCCATGGAACCCGCAAAACAAATTCCAAATCGTTCCTAAAATCTGAGCCTGGCTCAAAGAGCCCAGCTTGTTTTGCTGCAGGTGCAAGAACTACGCCGATGCCGTGAGTCTTCTGCCGACGCCCTCAAGTTACTTTTGAGATCGAAGTCACTTTATGACGGTGGCAAAGACACCCCGGGTTCACCAAACCAATTATGTAAACGGAACAAACTCTGTAGCGTATATACTGCGTTTTTCGACGCAAGCTCAATGATAAAAGCAACACGCCCCGGCACCATGGTCAATTCGCGCAAATGCTCTGGGGGCTATCCTTCACAACGCAACTCTTGCGTTCCACCTGACCATCTGTTTGCAAAATGGTCAGGGGTTGGCATATCTAATCTGGTGCCAAGCACCTTTAATGTTCGATATCACTATTCCAAACAATGGCTATTGAGCAGCAGAGTCGGCGAAACACTTTGTCGTGGAGCAGCTTGGCTAGAAACTCAAGGGTCACATCATCAAAACATCAGCGAGATGATCCATCAAGCCCTCATGGTCCACAAAGACCACAATACCAGTGTTACTGAAAGCCGAGACTAAAGCCCATGCAGGCGGAATGCCAGCACTCCACCAAAACCGGCAGGCTGGCTAGATCAGTCGCAAAATGCGGCGAGGATTTAACCTGCCCACACATTTTACATGTGCGCACATATGTGCTATCCTTCATACATGTTGACTCATTGATACGCGGTGCTCACCGAGCAATGTGTCTTCTATTCTCTACAACTGCTCAACATCATCTAAATTCCGTTCACGGAGATTGCTGAGGGGTCGTGTTATGTCGGCATAGTTAAAACTGTTCTTGTGCGAGTAGTTGGTCAATCCACTTCCCCATGTTCGATTGGCACAAAAGCACTGGCCAATTCTCAATGATCCTTGAACTACACGATCTGCTCGCAAGACCTCCTTCCCAGAGTGGGGATTTTGCTGGCGCCAAAAAAGACTTTCTAGATCGACAAACAACTTGAGCACCGCTTGCAAGTGTTCAATGGCGTTTTTTTCATCCGACTTTCCCGTGTTCTGCATGACTTTCACCACTTTGCCTTTAGCTCTCTTGACACGGAAGGTAGGCGCTGACTGTAGGCTCTGTGTGTGCTGCACAGAAGAAAGCCCAATTGACGACACACTATTGGCTTGGTAATGGTCGACGCAATTTTTCGATTCCGGGAGCCAAGTCAATTGTCGAAAAAATAAGGAAAGACTTTTAGCCTTTTGGACTGCTTAAGTTGCTCCATTCGTGAGTGAATATTCTTCCTGGCCACTGTCCGGTGAACCTTCATCTCTCCGCGCTGTGAGATCGTCACACGGTGATGCTGAAATAAGGTTTGAATGTAAACCGAAGAGTCATTTAGCCTTGGGAAGGCAATAATTACTACTCTTGGAGCAAGCGGATTGCGATCCGCTAACTCATACTGGGTTCTTGTAAAGAAAGAAAGGTCGGCGACCTAAATTACGCTTTATCAAGCGCTTAGCTACGGCAGCGCCGCTGCACTTGGTAGCACTCGTAGTCAATCTACACCTGAGTCGTTTAGACTGATCCTCGGTGAGGATGGAACAATTTTTCTCTTTGCCCGAGGGCATGCAAGATGGGCTTAAAAAGCTGATGTCCTTGCTTGGTCCTAAGGGCGTGCAACACTTGCTGCGCAAGGCCCCGAGGCAATCGATGCGCGTCTAAAGTCGTTTTCAAACTACGAAAACGCGTTGCTAGAGCACCTGCAGCAGAAGATGTCTGCATCATTTGCGTCTATGA